TGTCCCCCCGTTGTGGCCCGGCCAGTCCAATCGCCCCCCTCCCGCACACACTCAAACCCTTAATAGACACGTTGTTTGTGGGCTTGTTGTCGTTTTCTCTCGGGTGAGGAGGGTGTCGAGAGTCTTTGGGGGGCCGGTGACCTGAGAACTCTCCCAGGAAAAGTCCTGGATCTGTGGATCTGGGATTGTTTCTATGGGTTGTTTCAGTAGGTGTGGGAACCGCGCAGCATTGAAAAGGGGTTCTCAGGGTCCTCTGGGGGAAACAAAAAAAAACAAAACACCCCAGCTTGTGCTTGATAAACGGGGATCTAGCGGGATGTCTGAATTGAGTGCCGTGGCCGAGCATTGTTGCCGAATGCTGATGTAACTACGGGCGATCGGGAAACGGCCCCATTAGCGCCGTCTTTAGTCCCGCGATGGAGGAGCTGACAGCGCTCATCCTCTCGTTTCTCCCCATGTCATGTGGATGACCTTCGCTGAACAAAACTTATGAGTTATTCTCATGTTGCAACTAGTTTGACGATTACTTTTCTCGGGTCACTTCCCTTCGCTTTTTGATCGCTGAGACCTGACGCTTGTTAGGCTCGTAGCGTTGACCTGGATAACGTTTGCACAGCGAGTCGATGGTCCCAAAGATGGGAAGCGTGTTGCGCAGTCTGCTCGGGTGGCGGTCTGGAGCTCTGCTCGGAGGCAGACGTGGAGGCAGCAGGCCTCCTGCCTCGCTGTCCAGTGGAGCGAACGCTGAACCCACACCAGCATATGGTCCATCTGTATCCTCACACCTTCCTGTCTGGCCCCTCTTTGTCCCCCCCCCTCAACACCATGCTCACCCTTTGGCCGTGTGTCATATGACACAACCGGTTATCCGTGCTGAAAAGTGATCAACGCTGGATGTTTTTTTTCTTTTTCTTCCTGTCGAGCGCTGCGATGGGCGACATCATGTGTAAATAATTAAAACGGTGATGTGATCTTTGTTGGGGCCTCAAACACATCGACAGCGTTCTTATTAAAGTCCTTTATTTAAATCCCTTTTCAACCGCAAGGAGCTGAATGATTCATTTATATTTTTACATGTTTACATGGTGTTGCAAATCTAAGAGACTTTAATTTGGAACGGTTGAGTTGGCAGTCAGTCAAACGTGTCACATACTTCCTTTGTACAAAGGCCCACTTCCTTTTTTGTTTTCTTTTTTAGGGCGACATCTAACGCTTTTGTGTGCTGCCCCCTCCCTCCCTGCTGGGTCCAATTGCGTCTAGCTGCCTGAACAGGAAAAACAAACTTGTCGATGATTCGGCTGCCTTAAGAAATAAGTGTCTGCTTTTGTTCTGTGTGATTGCTCTGTTTTCACTTCCTGTTTGTTTACACACACACAGCCAAACAAAGCGTGCATGGGCGCTTCCTCTGTTGCAATTTTTACACCGACAAGTTGCTGCAATGAAATGTGCACCGAGCCACATCTTCAAAATGAGACGAGGGCCTTGCGTTAGCGGGGTCATAGCGGCTTACGGGGCAGAGGAGGTCGTCCACTCATCGGAAGATCGATTTTCCCAGCTTCTCCTTTTGTTTGTCAGAAGACTAGAAAGTCGATGCCTACTTTGACCAGACAAGGGCCCCGACTGGGACTGACGCTTTCACTTAAATCGCCAAACGGCATCAAGTTCAGAAAGGTCACAAGTGTGCAATCGTCTGTAAATGAGGGCAGAGGAAGGGGCGTGGCCTTGTGAAAATGCTAACAAGAAGCTAATATGCTATGCAAAGTACACCGGTTTCTTTTTCCCCCCTGGGATAAATATGTCCAACTGCATACTGAAGGACCGGGTTCCGGACATATGTTTAAAGAACGGGTGATATTCTGGTGTCAGGAGTTAATGTGTGCTTGTAAAGACTCAAGTTATTGAGCTGGAAATAATGTAGAACAATTGAGCAATAGAGAAAACTTTCCTGGCAACATCAGTGGTGCAATGCTTCCACAACTAATATTGACAAATTCTTCAATGAGGAAAGTACTGAATATAAAAAATGTTATTGGATCTTTTGCAACAGTTAAAACAGGAGAAATAAAAACTGATTGTTGTTATTATTATTAGGGGAGGGTCAGAATGAAACTGCAGCCAATTATCAGTGGAAATGTTATTGCATAACTTTGATGTTTGATGAAAAGCAACGGGATGTTTTAGTTTTTTTTATACTTCCCTTTTTGCTGGACTCTGGGCTCTCGACCACACGGACACATTAGTGGTGTAATTCAGCCTCCGCGTCGTGACTTGCAGCCCCGTCGTGGTCTCTGAAGACGCTCCACCACGGTTGCGTTGCTCGCCTCATGTCTGATTACATGACGAGCCGTTTTCCCCCCTAACAGCCCATCGCCCCCCCGGCAGGAGACCGCTGAAGCTGAGCAGCCACGCCGGCTTTCTTTATTTATTACAGAATTTCGGCGTTCCAACTGGCCGGCTATTATTAACACATCGTATTGACGTCGCCGCTATTTTTAGTGAGTGGGGAGAGGCGACTCGTGCGCCTCATGAAACGAGCCGAGTGCCGGTCCAGAGGTGACCTTTGCCGTGGTCCCATCTCCGTGACACAAAAGACCCGAGATGTCCATGTCGTCCATCCTGCGGGTGGTTCTTCAATGTCTCAATGACGTCAATGACGGGTCACCTGAGACCGGAGATTAGAAAGTAAACAAGGCCCGCCGGCCGCCTCCGCGTGTTCATTAAGAAGCAATGAGGCTAAGGAGCGCGTGCCAGCAGCTACGCTCATCACGGCCGCTCCGTTTGTTTTTCCTGATTGATTTTATCTTCTTCCTTTTCCAATAACAACAGGCTTAGCTGCCCTCTGTGGAAAAGATCTTCTCCTCTCAATATTCATCTCCTGTCCGTGTGTATCGTCCTCTCCATGCCAATGGCTCAGGGTGGTCTGGGGGGCGAGCACACATTAGTAACCTGTCATCTTTGGCAGAAACCGACTTGTCGGTTCTTTTACCGCTGGTCGTTACCGGTCAGCAATCAAGAAGCAGATGGACACGAGTCCAGACTGCAGATGGCCCAATTGTGCTGCTTCGCTTCCCAAGCACAACAAAATGCCGTCCGTCAGACGCCAACATCCTTCCCGTTATTCCCACAATGCATTGTGTCAGGGCACTTTCCCCTTCGCCAAATGTGACGGTCCAGACTGTGCGAGGTTTTGCTCTACGTGGAGACAGTGTCTCCGTGCATGCTGGTGGACCGAGAACGCTCACGACGCCCCCCCCCTCCCCCTCCCCCCTTCAAACAAACCTGCGTGCTTTGTGACGGAACAATGAAGACAGCCAACACAACCCAGGGTGAGAACGGCCGTGTCGCGGAGCGAGACCTGGACTAAAAGGCTCCCTTTGTTGCTCCTTCCCTCCGTCCTCCCCGTCGATGGGCACATCTGTGTGGCACATCTGTGTGGCACATTTGGTAGAAGGGAGCGAATCGCTGTCCCCCGTCAACAGCGAAGGGCTCCAGAGCCTTCGGTTTCCTGCCCTCGCACGTCCTCTGTGCCAGCGAGCGCGCTCTCAGGCGAGTGACTCCTCCGCTGTGGACGTGGTGCGAGTTGCCATATGGGAGGTTTAATTAGCACAATCGGCTCCCTCCCAGAACCAGCGGAGAACGCGACAACTGCCGCTTCCGTTTAATACGGGTCTTCGTTAGTAAGGTCCGAGGAGCCAGTCAAATAAAAAAACAATCCTCCCAAAGTGTTTGGCCTCTGGGGGAATGATGTGATTGCTGCTCGGCTGGATGCCTTCTATCTTTAGAGCAAATGTGTGATTGCGAGTCTTTCATTACAGGCAAGGGACGGACTGTAAGTAATACATGTAATTGGCAGATGTTTTGAGGAACTTTAGAGCATGCAAGGCTTTTCTCTATATATTGTGGGTTTAACCAAATGACAAAATAATAAATAAAGCAGATTTCCTTACTTTCATTGAGTCAACATTTTGGGTCGCTCTTATTAATACACAGATCCAACAGCTTTTACAGGGACTCTTTTCCAATTGAGTATATTTGTCGAGCACCACTTAGGTTTTCTGTCGTCTTTGATTTTGTTTACTTTTATTGTATTGAGGCGGAAAATCTACTACAAAGGTGACCTGAACAAAAGAACCTAGAAAGGTGCCACTAGAAGCATCGACCCTTTCACATGGCGCTATGCGTGACTGCGCCGCTTCACTCAACTCAAGTGGCAGGTGTGAATCAGCTGCAGCCGTATTCTCCAGTAACGCTTACATTTCAGAGCCGATGTGCATTCATCATGGAACCCAGCTTTTCTTTCTCACTTTTCACACTCGAGGCTTTGAAATACAGCCAGACACAACAGCAGGAGGCTGCCGGATGAAGGAGTGGAGTTTTGTTTGCTTCTGGGGATTTATATCACTACCGTGCCTTTTTTCATTTTGCAGCCCGCATCCGTGTGTGCAGATGAGGCGGCCAGTCAAGCGGAGGCAGGTTGCGTCTGACGGACGTAGAATTGGGGAAGGGAGAATAAAAGAAACAGTTTGCACATTCACTTCCTCCTCTCCACTCCTCCTTTCACGCCAAAAACCGCACACGCAAGCAAAAGTCCGACTTGCCGTCTGGCCGCAACAACGTAGCGGCTATAGACTTTCTTAAAGCTGGATGCTCTGATGCATTAGCTCAACGGTGAGCGATCCATACAGCGGGCTTTAAATGTCACATGACAAAAGATGTGTCGTCATATAGTCAGGGAGAGTGATTGAACTCTGACGCACAAAAGGCGATCGTGCCTCAAGTATGTGAGGGAACTTGTGGCTGTCGGTTGCTCAGAAGACCTGCGTGTTCTATGCTCACGCGGGGAGTAGGAGGAAGCTGGACCTCCACTCCCTGGCAACGCTTGTGTGTACACGCGGATGACAAATAAAAATAAAACACTCAAACTCACCATGCTTGTATTCTCGCATGTAAATGCTCACCAGCAATAAATGGCTTCTTATTCTTCTATTCTGTTTCCCATTCAGGCTTTTTTGCAAAGAATTCGACAAACTGCAGAAGACCAACAGTGCCTCTCACCCGAGCATGTGAAGGTAGGGCCGGCTTTTAAACACTCAAGACAACACAAGCCAAAAGCTTCTTCCTAAAAATGATTATTGTTGTTGTCTTCTACATCTCTGATATGGTTTTTGCCTTTTCCCCCCACGTCTTCGTCCATCTGTTGGTCACTTCCTTGCCCTCTTCCCCTCGCTTCCTTCCACCCTACCGCTTTATCTCTTCCTTCCTCTGCATCCCCCCCCCCCTTACGTCACCCCTCCACCGTCCCGTTTTTAGATTCTGTTTTCAAATATTGAGGACATCCTGGAGTTGCACAAAGAGGTGCTGTCTGCAGTGGAGGCCAGTCTGCAGCCCGATCCCCATCCTCAGCACGCACTGGGACACGTGTTCCTGCAGTTTGTAAGTACCACAAGACACACACACACACACATACATGACGGACACACGGACACGCACGTGGGTGTGAATGAAATTCCGCATCCTTGCAAAAACGACACGCACACACAAACCAACACAAACTCTTTTCATGGGCTACGCGTTACCACAGATGCAGGGAAAGTGTGCAAAGCCTGCTGTGAAAATCCCCCACCCCCCCAACACACACACATCCCTCCCTTTCCAAACAGGCTGCATCCTGTCAGCCAAAAAGAGTCTCTCTTCATCAGTTTCTGTGTCCTGCCATCCTCTTTTTTTGCCCCTCCGTGCCTCCTTCCAAAGATTCCTCTCCGCTCTGCATCCCCCCCCCCCTCCCACCGTCCCGCTCCCCTCTGTTTGAACTCGTTTGGCCCCAGGGAACAAACAAAGAAGGGTCTGTGTCCGCGGAGGAAGAGATGGTGTGTCACTCGGGGAGGGGACAATGCTTCGCTGGCTCCTTCTCTTTCTCGTTTGTGTGTCTCTGACAAACCGATCGTCAATTCACTTTCACTGAGGCCCAGAATGTCCCCGCGAGCTGCTGTCGGTCCGTCTGCCCCATCAGCTGATTGGTCACCGTTGCAGCACACCGTTGGATTCAAATTTCACTTTCTGAAAGTCAATAGTAATCCATCCGCTACCTGCTTGTGGCGCGAATGCCTTTTAATCAAATCTGCAGACAGCGGTTGTGTGAGCTCATCAAGATGTACTTTGACACATTTGCAGGTCGTTGTGGTCAGAGGACTGATGTAGAGGTCAGGCTGAATGGGTAATATGAACACTGCTTCTGCTTGGATTCCCCACGGCCTCTTTATAATTTCACTGTACTTCAAGTGCACATCCTTGCCACTGCAGGAAAGAAACCTGTGTGACTCAAACCGTTGTTTGATATTGATTTCATGTATAATGATGAGTCCTAGTAAGAAGGCAAAACGCATGCATTTAAATGGTGTTTCAGCACAGTTCTGTTCAACAGACTGTGACCTCATAGGAGAAAGACGCATAATAACGTGTACAGTTCATACAATCTACATGCATACAGTCAATTTCACTGAATTTTATATGCACTTCTTAATGATATAAATGAGGATTATTTTCATTATCAATGAATCCGCGAGGTATTTTCTGCAGAGTTGCTGGTCTGATGAATCCGCCAAAATCCCAGATATTCAATGAACATTATTATAAGGCGATAAAATCAGAGAATCGTTACGTCTGAAACATTTTACAGGATTACATTTTATCTAATTATCAACATATTATCATAAAAAGAAAATGATAAATAAATAAAACTCTCCTTTGTTTTCCGTCAGGTGTAAAAGGCTGTGTTGTGTTCTTGATGGAGCTGAACATGAACCCTCGTAAAACCAGAAGCAGGCGCCTTTATGCACCAATAACACCAAAATGTTGGCTCTTCTTTTAAATGAGTAATTCATTTCAATCCGAACTAATGGAAGTTCATTAGCACTTTCATTTAATTCTCTCTTATGTGTTTAATGTGCAAACAGCGAGTGTTTCTGTTTTTCAAAAAGTATATAAACACGCAACAAATGGTTTATCACATCAGGTATTCTTTTTTTATACAGTTAATTCAACAACAACTCCTCCTGTGAGTTCAATAAGTGGAGGCTGCTGTATTAACAGATGATGGGTGACAGTCGTATTATACCATCATGAAATATCTCTCCGTAATTATTGACAAATACTACATACATACATACAACGCTTCACATGATGGTGTGTTTGTTACATGTGTGATCCCTGCTTACAAATAGGGGGGAGAGTGTTGCAGAAGTGTTGCCCTGCATATCCATTACACTTCCCTCTCCAACTCATGACCTTTTGTCTCCACCGACACCGACACGTCTCAGCCAATGGGCTTGCCCCGTCTGGTGCCCTCCAGCCGTAGCCCTTGACCTCGACCGGAGGTCAACACCATGACTGGGATTTGATTAACCTCCCGCATTGTTCCGGGAGACTGTCTGTCACTCACGGTTAGGGAGGGAAAATGGGAAGATTCATTGCCATTCGACATTCGATGTTGCCAAGATGTCTTTGGAGGCTGCAGATGTTAAAGGAAAAGAAAGCGAGTCTACTGGTCTTTAGTCTTGGGAGCAAAGAAAAGGCAAGTTTGTTTTATGCAGCGCATTTTGGATCAAAAGTATAGACGCATCTCTGGTGATGAGGAGAGAACATTTAAAATCCCGTCAGTTTCCTTTGACCAACAACCTACAGATTCCTCGTCCTCGCTTCAAGATCGCAGCATGAGATGATTCAAACACTGCAAAAGGTGGAAAGGGGACTTTCTTGAGGAGAAATCTGAGACATCAATATTTGCTCTATTTCTGGGAGTGTATACATGAGCGCTGTGCAAGAGGCCACAGTCAGTCATTATGCGCTTTCTGAACTACGGCCATTATGCTTTTATTCCTGCGCGTGTGATGCGTGATGCTACCCCTCTCATCGAGCCTCCGGAATAACATTCCAAAGACGGGGGATTCAAATAAAGGCGTATATTTATCAAAGGGATGTCTTTGAGCTATTTCGGGTACAACCGATGTCTTTCAGTCTTCCAGAGGAGTCGCGATGATTAAAATTTACGTTGTGGTTCACAGTTTGGCCACTGGTAAGACATTTAGCCGTGGCTGGATGGACTATGTTGTAGTTGTTGTCACCGGAGAAAAGGAAATACCTCGGGAGGGAGAGGGGGGGTAAACATGGCCCAAAAAGAAGGAATCCTGTTTCCTCGCAGCAGAGGGGCTCAACAGCCAACCGATGCCTGAGCGCTGCCGTGGTTATTTCAGGTTGAGCTAACGACAGGAGCATGTAAGCTGATACACGGTGGCTTCATTTACATGTCCCTAAATATTGATCCTGCTCATGTACTGGGTTTAAAAAAAAAAGTATTTGGCGTTAATTCAAGCACTGGAAACCCCAACACGTTTTTGACACCTGGAAACATCTGGCCCTGCTGGTTTTCAGTCTGTTTGCTGCTTAGTTGCTACTCCAAAAGTAATACTTTAATGGAATACATTAACCCTAAGAATTGTGTGTCATCTGCATGCACATTTCTAACTAAATGGCATTGCAAGAGACTGCAAAATCTGCTACTTTTCTTTATATCACCACGTATTTGAGAGAAACACTAAACTTTGCTTTGTTTAAGCTCGACCGCTTTGGGGCTGCTGAGCCGGTCAGTGGTCTCAGTGAAATACTTTAGGATTCTCTGTGCTAATTCGCCACAAAGCCCCCCAGAGCCTGTAAATGCTCAGCACTCATTTCAAAGCCAATGAAATAATAGCGGTTTATAAAATAAAGTATTTGAGATCTTTCCATGCTTAATCGTAAATTAACCATAATCAGTATTAACTATTCCGAATAAAGTATTTACACACGTAAGTCTACCCCCCACGAGCACACTTCCACTAGCTGCCTATTAACTCAGTTTGACAGTATCTGGGGTTCTGCGCCGTATGCCGGGCTCAGCTGTTGCTCCCAGTGGTGCTGTGGACCAAATGTGGCTGCGGGTGTGTTTGGGCTCCTGCCTGTGTGGTTTAACCAAAGCTGTTTATAGTGAGCTGCTGCTCACTTGTGCTGCACATCAACACGCCTCAGCTCCTTCTGGTCCAGAGGCAGCGGGTCCTAATAAAAAAAGAGTTGTCGGGCTTCTTCTGTCACCACTGCCGGGTTAGCATGTACAAACTGACACTGTATGATGCTGTAAGTGTGTGTGTGTGTGTGTGCATGTGGTTTCCCATTTGAATGGAAATTATGAAAATCTTCGTTTATGGCTGACTGGTCTCAATGCCCTTATAATGATGCTTCCTGTTGAGATGCTGAGACTCGGGGCGGCGGCAGTTTGGGTGGAAAGCCGCGTCCCAGCACCCGTTGTTTTGGATTTCACTTCCCGAGCTGCTTCGGATAACAGTTTCCGTTTCTAGACCCCGAGCTCAGGCCCCACCGTGCTCATGGTTTCACATCCCAATCGCTGCAGATTGGTTTAAGAGCACACAACGGGCCTCGAGGCGCACACCTTGTTGATGTGAACGCTACCGCGTATTCACCCATCCGGGGGTCACGTTACAGGTGGGAAACTAAACGACAGCCTGCGTGTCGCCTACAGAAAAAAAGACTGTGTGGTGGGGTTGTATGCTAACTACCCCCCCCCCCCCCCTCCACACACACACACAATAATTCAGCCTGCTTTTGAAAAGGAGAACTGTGACGGATGTGAATGAATACTGCGGTGGCTTCACAGCAATTTGGGAAAACAGTTTAATGAGCGCGTGTGTTCCCCCAGTGCTTTCGTCCCATCACTGCTGCCAGTTCACTTGATACTCTTGAACCACCGACGCCGGCGTGCGTCTCGGTGAGCAGCGGCAGCTGTGGAAGCGCAGTTATCCCATATTTTCACTGCAATAATAAAACGGAAGTGAATCTCATGGAGCTTCCTCCACCTGTCGGCCGTCTCGGGGGAATCCTCAGCGCCGCCGTCCTGACGTGTGTTTTCTTCCCCTGTTTTTTTGCAGAAGAGGAGTTTCTCCGTGTACGGCGAGTACTGCAGCAACCACGAGAAAGCTCTGCGACTTCTCGTGGAGCTCAACAAAATCCCAAACATCCGGACCTTCCTGCTGGTGAGTAGACGCCTTGCGCCTCAATTCTGTGTGTAAAACAATCTCACTGTTTTCGTCCATGTAACTGAACTTATCTACTCTCCGTCTACCTTTGCCCCACATCCCTCCCCTGAGTCTCCTCTGGCTCTCTCCTCCTTTATTTCCCCTCCATTGTATCACCTCCCTTTCCATGCTAACGTTCGAATAAAGGGAAGAGAACCCCGGCGGGGTCACGGGGTTCTTCCTGCGCGGACAGGATGCAACCGCCAACAGACACCTTTTGTGTCGCCCTTGTCGTGTTTCCGCTGCCAGCTGTTTTCTGTGTTTTGACGCTCAAACCCTCGGGCCCTGGGACAATGAACTTAAAATGCCCGCCGGGGGCCGATGAAATCATCGGCGCGTTCTGGGCCAACCAGCTGTGCAGCGTTGGCAGCTTGTTTTGGGATTGGCCAAGAGATCAGAGGCCGTGCGTTTGTCGCTGCCCGGTGGTTTTGTCTCTGTGGCACTATTCTGAACCCCCCCCCCCCTCCCCCCAAGACTGGGAACGCTGGGATCAGAGTGTTCCCCAACCCCCCCCCGCCCCAGTCATGCGCGGGCAAATTGGTTAGGCCTCCGGAATAACATTGCGGCACCAACATCTGCATGGAAACCGTTGTGCGACCTGCTAAAGAGAAACAAACAGGATTCATTTACAGTAACTAAAACACAAATACAAAAACTAAAAATATTCTTTTAAAGAAGATGACAGAGAGAATGTGCGGTTCTTCTGTAGAATAGTAGAGGATCCAGGATGAAGGTTTAATTTCTTGAAGTGAGGAGCATGGCGAATCGTAGCTATTAGTTTCGGTGTATCGCCGCTGGTGTCTTTCCAGCTTTGCTGTTTTTCTTGTCTTCCTTTCCGCTGGTTTAAACCATTTTCATTCAAATTGAATCACACAATCACGTGAGCTTCTGAAATTCTATGAAGAAACGAGGCGCTAATTGTGTTGGAGGAGAGAAGGGAGGCGAAACCAAAAGGAGGTCAGAGTGAAGAGCGGAGGGAGTTCTGCCTTCGGGCTGGAAGATTTGAAACCGAAAGTTGGTTTTGCCGGGGACAAACTTATTCATTAGGAATCTACGTGAATCCCAAAGTTCTTCAGACACGATGAGTTGTTTTCACATATAAATGCCCCCCCGACCCCTCCTGACCCCAGCGTCCTCCCTCGCTCTGAGCCGACTGGAGAGGAGTTGCCGTTTCCCACCAGAGTGGTTTATCTGCGTGGCTGCGTTTCATCTTTCATCCCCTCCCATGTACTCGCTGCATATTCGAGGCGCAGAGAAACCATGACTGTAACTGCGACCTCCCCCCCCCTCGCACACACACCTCTGAAGAAAACACTTACTTCAAACCGTTTTTTGGAAAGGGGGGGTGGAGGGGGGGGAAGATGCCCAAAGACCAAATCTCCCGTGTAATGAGAGCCCATTTTAAAGGTTTCTCAGGGATCCTCTCGTTTGCTTTGGAGGCTTTTCAGCAGAAGGAATGTAGTGAATGTTCGACTGTAGGGTTCTGTATAAATGCGCCATCTTAAACATGACACTGAAGTCTTTTTGTTGTTGTTTTTTTATCCCGCTTTCTTGTAAGAAATGGAAGGAACCGGGCATAAAATAAGTGCTCCCGACGTACAGGGAAATGCGTCTGAAAGCGACCATAAGGAGGGTCATTAGTAATAATGAAACCCCAGAGGCTTCCCGAAATAAAGCCTTAGTGACCGGATGCGCTTATTGGCAGTAAAGCTTCTCGTAACCACTATCGTGGTTTGGAGCTTTCCCAAAATATAGATTGTGTAGAGCAAAGTCTTTTTAAATTCATAAAAATAAATGACTGTTTACTGTAATGTACTAGAATCATTTAGTATAAACCGAGAAATTATTATGACCACATTTATTCTTTTTTTGAGGGATTACATTTCCATGGCCTCCGGTATTTGCTTCATGATTACACATGGTTTTGTTTTTGCATGTCTCAGTCTGCATACAGGTTTAATTACATGTTTATGACAGGGGGAAAAAAGGCAACTGCACCTAAGGCTCTGCTCCCCAACGGAGACGGATTATTCTTCTGCACCTGGACCTGTTGAGGATCTGCTGCCGGCGCAACGGAGTGTGACTGAATGGAAATGACAACATGGTCAATTAGAGCCTGTTTATTGCTGCTATGTAAACAGCTGCAAAATGCCCTCAAATAGACAGATGCTGTGGGAGATAATAAGCAAACAAACAACAACTACAAACTTAACCAACATGAACTTTAAGACCAAGACCCAATGCAGAAACATTAGATGTTTTGGTCGTGATTTATCTTTGTATCCATTTGCACATTATCTCCTCTTAACTTCATGCTCTTTCGTACGGTGGCCTGTTTAACTCACTCTGTGGTTAAATCGGAGTGTGACCGTGTCCATCTGCATTCCTTCCCCAGCACTGCATGCTGCTCGGAGGGAGGAAGAGCACAGATGTTCCCCTGGAGGGCTACCTTCTCAGCCCCATTCAGAGGATCTGCAAGTACCCTCTGCTGCTGAAGGTACTGTGATGATCAAGTGATGATCGCTTGCTTGGAGAATCTTTAAAAAAAATAACAAAGTCTGGAATTTTCTTTTCCAATGCATATAAAAGAAATTCTAAAAAAAGAAATTGCCCCTTCTCCAACCCAGGAGCTTCTGAAGCGCACCCCGAAGAAGCACACCGACTACCCGGCAGTGGAAGAGGCTCTGCAGGCCATGAAGGCCGTCTGCTCCAACATCAACGAGACCAAGAGGCAGATGGAGCAACTGGAGGCTCTGGAGCAGCTGCAGTCGCACATCGAGGGCTGGGAGGTGAGAGCGCGTGGGACGGAGCCTCAGACGGTGGATGTGAGGAGCGGTTGCAAAAGGGAGAAGGCGGGAGGTCAATTGAAAAAGGAAAAGAGCTGTTGCGAGCTCGAGGAGGGGAAACCCTTGAGAGTTGGAATGAAATTGCAGGGGTTGGTGCTGTGACATTCTGAAGGTAAAAATTGTTTTCTTAGAGCAACAATTTAAATAAGGCGTCTGGGGGGAAAAAAGACCCACAGCAAACACATTTAAGAATTTTAGAAAGACCTGTATTACCACGCCCCCCCCCCCCACCCCGCCTCCACCTTTAGTTACTGAAGCCAAAATTGCTGCTCTGAGCACCGGGGCCACAGACGGGGCTTTGGAGCCGAGCGAGGAGTCCGGTGCATTTTTCACGCCTTCCTCACCCACCACAACAGAGGCCTTGTCCTAGCAGGCACCAAAGGGACAATCCTCCCACACAGGGTGCCAAGGGGGGGTGGCAGCGGGCACACTGCCCAATCGGAGGAGACCAAGGAAGCAGGACTCTAGTCCCACATAAACTGGGAGGGTTTTTTGAGGGGACCTTTTGAAGGGACGGGGGTTGTAAACTGAAAGATGGAACTAGACGAGTGGGCCCCACTGGGATGTTGCACTTTGCTTGCCAAAGCAGACCCCTCCACCCCCCCTGCCTTTGCCTCTGGTGATTGGTTATTTAGCTTGGGTACATTGAAGGGGGGGGGGTCCGTACAGGGTATTTTCTGCTCAAGCCACCTTAATGGCGCCCATCATTTATTCTATGGATGACCCCAAAACACAATGAGAAGATATATATATAATATATATATATATAAAGCTCAGAAAGGCGCTTCACCACTGCGCCCCCCCCTCTCCTCCAACCCCCACAGCATTAGTCTCGCCCCCCCCAGCCACTCTCTAGGCTAATTACCTCCAGCTCTAATGGCAGAGGCCGCTAGTAGTCCCGAATCAGGCCCCGACCCATTACCTCGGCGAAGACACACACGTGCATAGAGGTGTCGTCTGAATTGTCAGCCAACCCCCCACCTCAGGGTAGCGCAGTAAAGGGTCAATCAAATGCCGTGAATTCAATTCCCCCCGAGCCCCTCTCCCCCAAGACGCAGTAGTCGTGCACCTTTAAGAATGACTCCTTTGATCTTTTTTTCTCTCTGGTGCGGCCTGGGCGCGGTGAACATCCATCATAATTAGTACTTGGTGGTATCAAATTTTCACCGCTCGAGGGGAGCGGGGGGGGGCGCAAGGGGTTTTCCATAGGGGGACCCATTTCGGGAACATCAAAGACAAAGTCCAAATCTGGGGGCGAGGGGTGGGGGGGACCCCGCCACCCAAAAGGGAGGGACGTCCCCCCGATGCCGGCACATGGGGGCATTTATTTCCGGGTGTTCTGGAGGGGAGTGATCCTTTTAACGACGAGTAATGCCACGTTTTTGTCTTTTTTTTGTTTTTGGGGGGGGGGGGGGGGGGGGGGGCTTACGAACCCCGGGAAGGGTAACTCCTCCCTCGGTTGCTTGATGAAGTGAAGCGGTGGCGTCCGCCATTCACAAAAAGGGAAGCAACGCGTGAACGCCCGGCTGCTCGTGTGCGTCCGTGAAATCGGTTTCTGTTCCTGTTTTGATGGAAGTGTAAGTGTAGGAATTGGTCCTGAAGTTCAGCTGCTTTGTGATATGATTAATTAGACAACATACTGTGGTCAATCAACACAACATTCATGCTAACAGTTCCAGACTAACGTCATTGACCTCATTAACAAAGGCGGAAAGGTCCACCGATCACTTTTCTCCATATTTACTTTTAAAATGTCAGTAAATCCAGTCAGGAGACCGGAAACCCTCCTGATTAACACATCACAATACAGAAAATGAGTGTACTTTTTTGGGTTGAGCTGCAAAATAACCCAACGCTTTAGAATAAGCACAGGGGAGTGGACAAGGCCTTCACATCACCTCGGCCCTACGCAGGTACAAAGCCTTTGGCAGACTTTCACTGCAGGCATCAGCATAATACTTAAAGGCATAAAGAACTGCCACCTACACACTGCACTGTGTCACAAGTCATGTATTTCCTTCCTCTTTGCACATATGCGCATATTACTCTCTGCACAGGTGCAGCAGGCATGTGTCTGTAGCTTGCAAGCATGCGTGTTTACATCCCGAGAGGAGAATGAAATGGCCTTGTATGTAGGAAACTCTAAGTAGGCCAAAGTGACAGGCTGCCATTTAAAAGACACTGTGCAGGAAGGCTGAGCTCGGGGGTTAAAACTAGCGAGACGCTAACCGCCCTGGATGTGAAGAGTGTGTTTACGCTTTCTTATCAGTTAAGATGGAATGAAGTGCAGGTCAGTGTTATAGGTCAGTTTCATATTGTTTAACCGAGGCTGTGAACTCTTCAAGTTTTATGAAACCGGGAACAATGTTTTCCCTGCAACTCCCGTATTTAGACTGAAAGTGCTATCAGAGTTTCCACGCTGCGCTCAAATAGAACAAACTTGAACCTTCAGTTGTTTCACTCTTGTTACTGTAACAGTGTCAGAAGCTAATCTCTTTTTCAATCTTTTTTTATTTCCTTTCAATTGTTCTTCTTCAGGGAACCAACCTGACAGATATCTGCACAAAGCTGCTGCTCCATGGAAATCTCCTGAAAATCTCTGCAGGCAATATCCAAGAACGCGTCTTCTTCCTGTTTGACAACCTCTTGGTTTACTGCAAAAGGAAGTCCAGGTGAGAAGGGCCAAACGCCCCTAAACCCACACGGCCGCTTCCACAGCAGCAGGTCCAAGATAAACTTGGAAAAGAAATATTTAAATAAACAGAATGCCGGGAACAAGTGCAGCAAATGTGCACATTCCTGCGTGTGTGGGCGGGTTTTTATTATTATTCAAGCAAAAACAACTACACGTGCCTGCTGCCGCAGCAGCTGCGTCCGCGCGCGTGTTCTTTGCTCACACTGGATGTTTTCCCCTGCTGAGTGTGACCGCAGTGTTGTCTCGTTATGCAGAGTTTCTGGAAAGAAGTCCAGCAAGAGGACCAAGTCCATGAACGGGCCCCTCTATGTGTTCAGAGGCAGAATCAACACTGAGGTGATGGAGGTGGAGAACGTGGAGGACGGAACAGGTTTGTTTTTGCTCTGCCCCTATTTGTCCATCCATGCGCCCCACGCGCTTTTTGATTTGTTCACTATGACATCCCAGGTAATGTAGGAAAATAACATGCATTTACCACTTTCAAATGACCTACAGGGCTGCGTTTATATTTTACCTTTAAGTTTTTAAAACGTTGCTATTTAGCAACGTGCGGTTGGATTGTAATCACGTACTTGTTGACAGTTTGGGTGGAGCGTCGCCCTTGCGCCTACTTTCGAACAGGATGCAGCTCGAAACCTCACGTTCCACCTTTTGATGTCGGCTAATCAGCACATACAAATCAAAAGTGCAAAGAAAGCGAGCTGGGTGATGAACGCGATGTGCTCTCGCATTGTTGTGCCGCTAGCGACCCATCTGCGATCCGGTTGCCAAGCAGTTTTTCTTGCCTTTGTGGTCTGTTTGCAAGGCATCATGCTGGGCTTCTTAGAAACACTGTCTTCCTCTCTCTCACGTTTCCTCTTTTTTTTCTTTTCTTTTTTTTCGGTCTCTTCGCGCCGACCACATAGAAAAACCTGCCGTATTTTCAGAACTGAGAATACACACACACACACACACACACACACGAGTGAACTACAACAACACCGATTAAGTGATTGCTAATGGTGTAACATGAAATGTGGGCGCAAGTTACATGCACAAAAGGAGTGCATAAACTGTACTTTACACACTACAAAATGTCCTCACGTTCACTGACTCCTACGCTTCTCTGCCCTGATCAATGACCCTGTGTACTTACATAAACCTGTAAGAGAATCCTTTTCCAGACGCCGTAGTTTGCATCCCTGCTCTCCCACATCAGCAGGAGCCGGTCCCTGTGGGGCCCGAAGTATCACATCTATATATATGGCCTTTAAACGCAGGACTAATGCACCCCATTACCAGCGGCCATTCATTATTCAGTAGCCGCTCACCTGCAGCTAAATGGATGATAAATTTAGAAAGTGAATGAGAAGGGATTTTGTCGACTCAGTGGAAAGGTGCTTTTACTGCATCGTGTTTGTCTCTTACTTGACTTCTGAATCATGGCCTGAGTAGTAAAGCATATTGACCTTACTTTATTTACTTAAAGACAACAAGAGGAGGAAAAAACAACAAGCTCAACAAAAACCTATGTCGATTTTCCTTAAATTAGAGAATTTGTTTTCCCCCTAGAGGCCATTCCAATATGGAGCCGACATTGATAATAAAGCATAGAGAGTCCACCCTAATGTTTAGTGTGTTGTTTTAATGGTTTACCACATTTATATATTAATACAAGTATATCAATTTGTTGTTGTTTTTTGCCTCGCAGCCGACTATCACAGCAACAACTACACGGTGACGAACGGCTGGAAGATCCACAACACCGCTAAAAACAAGTGGTTTGTCTGCATGACCAAACACGCGGAGGACAAGCAGAAGTGGCTGGACGCCATCTTGAGGGAACGGGAGCAGAGAGAATGTGAGTGAGGCCTTTTTTTTTTTTTAAAGCCATCGATGCCACTTCTGGTTTAAAGGCCTGACGCCACCAACCACGTTTTGGAAGGGAGCTAACTATTGGTTGATTTGACGTCATGTACGTGTTAGATGCACTTGCCACATGTAGGAAGTGGTGCTCGTGTCCCCCCCGGTTACGTCCCACCTTGAACTGGTTTGTTTTGCTGTCGGAGAATGAGTTGACATGGGGAATTACCCCGGATTAGTGGCCAGAAAATCAAATTGTATTCAGTCTGACCCAAAAGAAATACCCTTCATTCCCTGGTGGAAAAACGATAATCCCCACACAGCACCACATCCGATGCTGTGAGATTAGTAACGCACACTGATATTCTTGTTGCTGCTTCGGACGTCCTTTGGCTCCCACCTGTTCACCACCAGCCATCTGTCTTCGTTACGTCGTGTGCGTTGGCCGTGTGTGAAAGGCTTTAATCAGATCTTTGGGCCGGCACACATCAGGTCACCTGATAGCATTGACGGCTAAAAGTCCAACTTGCATCTCTAAAGTTAATCGTTTGGCTGAAAGTGTCCGCGCGCTCAAACTATCGGCTGCGCGTGCGCGCTTGGCCGAGGGGGGCCAATCGTCAACACAAACATTTGCATTCTTGTGAATGAGACTTTGTTAATAAGCCTCCGCGTGGAAGTTCAGCGCCATCGGCGTCCGATCCTGTGATGAAAGGCTTGCTGGATACGTAAGCGGTCGGAGGGAGTGTGCTGCTGCTGCCGCTTGTGGTGTTTGGTTTCAACCCCGACGGAAATCGACCTGAGGCTAACAGATGCCAGATCAGTCACAGTTCCCCGTTTGCCCACCACCCCACTCTCCATAGCCCAGCCTCCGCCCTCACGGCCACTACTCTGTGGTGTGCTCTCCCCGTGTGCTCACCTTTCTCTCGCCCTCTGTACCTACAGGTTAGACCGCCACTTGATAAATCCCCTTCGTACGTTTACTTTTTTCTCGAGCCTCCTTGTTAACGCTCATTATCGCCGTGGCCCTGCCCCCCCCCTTCCCTCCCGTGCTGGACGAGCCGAATCCTCACAGAAGTCCTTCATTGTTGACCAACCGCTGGGTGGAGGAGGCGGGTCTCATCGCGCGGCGGGTCGGACAGTGCGTCGCTTTAAGGGCTCGAGCCGGAAGACGAAGAGCGCCTCAAGACAAACTCTGACAGCTGGAACAGGAGCCGAGGGGCCCCGCGCTGCTGGACAGGCCCCGTCTGTTTTTCAATGACACCCATTGTTTAAGTCCGCTCCAGCTGCTGTCAGATGTAATGCAATCCCACCTCCGTCACGGGCCTGCCAGTGCAGGAGCCCACTTCTGCTTTCATATGAGTTTAATAAAGGTAAGAAAGTATCGAGGTCGATCGCCTGCGTGCACATATGTTCTGCGAGTGCATGAGAGGAAACTAGTCAGCAGTTTGTAGCAGATCAAAAAAATCTCAGCGAGACGAGCAAAGTCATTGACCGCATTCGAGCCGCATTCGAACGATAAGCTCGTTAAGTTTGCGGAGATGAGTTGCAATCACAATACTTGGTGGTGGAGTTCGGCCAATGGAAGCTCCTGCAGCAGAGTTGAGCGGCTTAGGGAGGCGCAGTGCAAACGCAGGTGAGTCGTCCGAGTCAGAAAGCCTCGCGCCGTGGTTCAGAAGTTCATAAAATCCCAAGATGATGCTATGACGCTCGAACTGTGAAAGCTCGAACCTCCTGTCGGGGTTTTACGGGGGGGAAGCAGGCCGCACAATGGACCCTCACATGTCACAATAGACATGGAGAAACAACGGTGAACAAACCAACAAAGAAACAAGATCAAGATCAAGCTGCCCTCCTGAACTCCACCTTTTTACTCCCAGAGCCGCTGTGCCGCGGTCAGATAACCATCTGGGTTTGTTGCAGAAATTTGTGGCGGTCCCGAGGCGCCTCCTGCTCTGTTGCAGGCTTCATTCCATCTGCACAATACCAGAACACAACCGGGCCGTCAAGCTAAAGGCCCGTTTGTCTCCTCTAAGCACCGTGACAGCCTTTGCCTTTCGGCTTCGATACACAAACAAATGCCCAGTAATGGCTCTGTTTTCCTCCCAAATCTGATCCAGGGAACGTACTGACTGAAAAGCTTCCTCTCGTCCCATGAATGGACTGCAGGGGGGAGGTTGGGGGGACAGATCCTCTTCATCTGACGTGTTTTTCTCATTGATTTGTAGGTCTGAAGCTCGGGATGGAGCGGGACGCCTACGTGATGATTGCAGAGAAGGGGGAGAAGCTCTACCACATGATGATGACCAAGAGCCGGCACCTGATCAAGGATCGACGCAGGAAGCTCAGCATTGTGCCCAAGTGCTTCATGGGAAAGTGAGTCTCTTTGCCTCCTCGCTGCCCGGGTTTCTCCAGGTTCCCAGAATGCGACTGTTCACAAGGGGAGCCGCACAAAGCGCTGTTACGTAAGATCAGCAGGCTGTCAAAAGAGCCGGTATCCAGCCTCCCCGGATCCTGGCAACATGCCTAAACTGCTTTACCCCCACACCCACTTGTGTGTAATGAGCCCCCTCCAGCACCCCCTGCGCGCCTCATAGTCTTCTCTCACGGTTCACAGAAAGGCCCCAATTGCTCCCAACACACTCCTATCACTCACACACCCAAACGTCCACTAGCAAAGGCCCTTTAACCGAGGCCCGGCAACAAGGCACCCCCCCTTTATGTCCCCTCAGTATGTCAACGCAATGAAGAGACAACGAGAGCTTGCTTGAGTTTCCCTGACGGCAGCACGGCTCCTGAGCAATTCAGGTTCTTCCCGTCACCATTGTGGGGAAAATTAAAACGTAGAATGCGGCAAGACTGCGATGACGACGACCGGTCGTATGAAGGGAAACCAGGGGTGCAACATTTTAATAGCTGAACCACCTCTCACAGAAATGGACAAGTCATTAAGTCCCACATCTGAAATAGTGTGTGCTTTTTCTTTTTGGAGAGGTAAATGCAGTGGGCAATAACACAGTGACCCCTGTTACATCAGCCACCAGCAAGAAGCCAGTTTAATAGTCCGCTCACTGGTGCTTCTGGAAGGCATGTTCCATCTCCGTGGCCTCGCATGCATAGTGTATATAGAGCAGCGCTCTATTAGTGGCCTCAAAGTAATGTTCTATTTCACACCCGTCTGTTTGAGGGATGGAACCACTGTGCCGGTACCGAGCAGTGACTGTCAAGCTTGTTCAGATTCCAGTGTGTATCTTTTCTCGGACGATTCCTTAGCTCTCAGTCCCTCCCTGCCTCCTTGGCCTCGTCCCTGTGGTCTGAGTGTAGGTTGTCTGCCTCTTCCTCTCCCACCGTGTTCCCGCTCCATCATCGCTCACGTGCCTCGCGCTATCGCTCAGTCATTTCCTCCCGCTGAGTGCAGCGCGCATTACCTCTGCATTTGTCTCTCTGATGGAATTATCAGCGGGCAAAGTTTGACTGCTCATTGCATTAAGCGGAGAGGCCGACCGGCGGCTTTGAAAGCATCGCGTTGTCTCGATGGCATCATGCCGTCATCAGTCTGTATTGAATCGTGGTGTTAACCGGCTTGGCATTTTCTTGCTATTTTGGTGATGCCAGTGCTTGCCCAGCATTGTTTTGAGAAATTTTCAAAGTGATGATACAGCATATGCTTATTTTTTGTATTGCTTTTTTTTCCTACATTGTTGTGCGAAGAGAGCTAAAGCTGAGAGAAAACGGGAATTAGAGCTCACTGCTCCATTTCTGGGTTAGCCTGTGTTCCACCGGCTTTTGGTTCTCAATGGGTTTTCTCACACGCTGAAGGGGAATAATACAATACATACAATACATTTGCTGTGTCCCAATTCAATACTTTTCAACGTGACAAAATTATGTATTCTAGTATGTGTGTGCACTTGTATAGACTTGCACCTTTTTGTCACACCGTGCAATGCACAAAGGAAGTGGAGCTGGAACAAAATAGGATGAAAGGGTGAATGGTGCGGAGACCCACAATGATCTTGAAAAACAATCGCACAATGTTTGGGAAAACATACTTTCGGGACTTGTGTGTTGTACATGTTCAACGCGATCAGAGCGTAGTGTGGATTTGGGACACGGCAGTTTGTCTTTCCGAGCCCACTTGAAAAGCCCGGCTAATGTTGCCCCACCTCGCACGCAGATACACAATCATCAGCGGATCTTCCCACAGATTCTCCCCGTCCTCTTTTCCTGCGTGTGTGGCCGAAGGCTCTCTGCCTTCCTACCTCACACTCGCACACATTACTGCTGCTCATCATAATATATTCCATAACAGCTCTGTGTCCGAAATGAACCTGACTCTTACGTAACACCCACACACATACATACGTGACATACGTCACCTGCCAATGCCAATTTACACGCACGGCCTTTGACATGAACATGCAGAGGGACAATAGACACAAACACTAATAATGAAATACATTCTTTGTTTGCCAATTATGGTGAAATATTCCTTCAGTGCACCAGGCAGGCATTAATGACCAGTGGCAGGTGGGACGAGGTCTCCGCTGTTCTGCACGATCATACGCACACACTCTATAATCATATACAGTAGTTTGACTTAACACACACACGCGCCGTGTATGCTTTTCATCATTGCTTTTCAAGCAATCCAGGATACACTCATATGTCCGTTGCACCACTGCTGGAGAGCAAATCTACACGTGAGAACAGATTTCTCATGACACATGCTTCAAAATTGTTCCCGTGCACACACACATTCTGCTGTCTCTCCAATTCACTTTTCATCATTATCTGGGGAAGTGATTTCACTCTGCAGCATGAAAGACAAAGTAGGGGAGAATGTAATTTTCTCCTTCAAACATTTGTTCAGCGCAAACCGGGCGTGAAGGAAGAAGCGGAGCTGAAGCGCTTATATTTGGACCGTTAATGCATGTGCAGGGTCGAAGCTCATGGGATATTTCTGTGGCAAGGAGAAAAAGGAGAAACGTATTCTAAAATGTTCCACGAATATGAGCTGTAGCTTTACTGCCTGGGCTTCTGATTGAAGTAGTTCAATTTTGTAAAACAGAGTAAATGGTATTAAAGTTCTTGCGCAGCGTCAAGATGTTCTCAGAAGGCCGTTAGTAGTGAACATCCAGAGCCGCCTCAGAAAGGCTATTTCTTCTCCCGTTTGTGTCACGTAGGCTACATTTGGAAATCAGAGCTCATGGTGCAACGGATCATAAATGTTGGGAGGCATCACGGATCAGATTGCGGAAGGAGTCGCACAAAGATTTTGTTTATTTCAACTGCTCTTAAGTTAGTAAGCCATCAACAATTCCAAATGTTTATTTGTTTTATTTGTATTATTTATTTAACATTTTACGAGATCCTTTCCACTGAACATATCCCATAATATAACCAAACAAAACCTCCATTCGTTAGCTGTTAGCGGTGCTGCTAACCATGTTTGCTTATCTGCTGTCAATGTAAATACAGATTGGTTGTTCTCAATGTAATGTTTTTACAGGTCGGCGACTACAAAAGCATAAATGTCCCGATTTATTTCCCACTTTGATGGCCGACATTGAGCTGGGGGGCAATGGTCCAGTACTCTGCTAGTCATGGCAGTGGTTGTCTGGGTTATAACTCATTTACTCGTGACGTGCGCTCTCATTCTTTAGTGGTTTCTCACCGTTAATTCTTTGACGCGTGCAACAGAATCCAACAACTAGCGCGGACACGCTCCATGCATCAAGATCTGTTGGCTGGAGCACATATTCTTTCACACCACTTTTGGATCTTTAACACCGTATAAAAAAAAAAAAAAAGAATCCTCCCACCTCCTCTCTTTTTTCCAACTGAGCTAATTTCACAACATCTATACATGTGAATGTGTTAAAAGGTCTATGCCTGCTTTGATATCACACATTTTTACATTTTACGTCAACATTTTTCCTTCAAGAGCTTATCCCTCAGGACAAGGGGTGTCTGGTATTAGTCTTGTTTATTATAAGCGGCTTAATGAACGGGAATAAAAGAAACACTGACACTTTAAATCCCCCCAGAAATGTAAAGAAAAAACACACGCACCAAACCCGCCGTCAGCGAGCAGATTACCACTTTGGGAAAGCGGGCCTCATCACGTATGCTTCTTTGTCTCGGTGTTCCCAGTGAGTTTGTGTCGTGGCTGATCGACAGCGGAGAGATCAGCAATCCTGACGAGGGGGTCAACCTGGGACAAGCCTTGTTGGAAAATGGCATCATTCACCACGGTGAGACGACGCTAAACCCTTTATTTCTCTTTCTCCGCTGGTTAAACCGCATCGTAGACCTCATCTTGGGTTCCTCTCTGTCTGTTACGCACATCTTGAGTGTCTTGCTTTATCAGGTCAACTTGGTTTAGTCATCTTGTTTTTTCTCTGATTCATGTTCTCCTTCTGTAATTGTTTGACTCAAACGGATTATGAATTTGTCCCCTACTTCTCATCGGATATTTCCGCAAGCGATGTCTCACGTTGTCTCCTTCTCCGGTTTGCCTCGAGTCTGACCTCCACCTTTCAAGCAGGAAGGTCACAGGCCGACTAAAACCTTTTACATAACACACTCCTGAAGGGAGAGACACGATTTATACAAACACCACCCTCATTCACCACATTCCCTAATACCTGTGGAAAATCCCCCCCGGAAAGTAGCCTCCGAGCACGAAGAGGTGCAACGATGACTCCCAGGGCATTGTGGGTAAAGCGTAGAGGGCTCAGGCCCAGCGGGCAAAGTGTAGGCGTCCCCACTTAGTCAGGGAAACGGGAACCACACAGAGAGTCGCAATGCGAAGCTGTCCATGTAGCTTCACCACGCAGAGAGAGAGAGAAGGTCGACCGCACGCTGCATCCGCTAAATCGCGCTAGTTCATACTTGAATGTTGAAAATCCCTTTGAATCTCCTTTTTATCCCGCAAAATATAATGTTCTCATGCGCTTGTGAATTCACCTGTTGAGACTTTTCTATGAGGAATTGTGGGCCATATCTGGGGTTTTTCCAGGGACATTTGAAGTCTAGCCTGAGAGAAAGCAGCAGCAGCAGCTTGTTTGACACCATGCCAACTTGTGGGGGGGGAAGCAACCCGCCTCCGTTTGTTAGCTTCTCCCACAGGCATCGGTTTGCGAACATTTTATTCATTTTCTTTTCCCTTAAGGGTTGTTTTGTGTTTGTGGTTTTCAGGCAATTATGGACTTTTTAAGGGGAGAGGCAGTGGGGTTTCCCAAACACAAACTCCCCCCCTTTTGTTTTTAACCCCCCCCCCCCCCCCCCCCCCCCCACCCTCCACAGATGTGTACCATGAGGGAGAGAATACACTGTTGAGTTAATGCTTTGCTCTACTGCCCGCTCATGTGACACAATCTCCTCCTGCTGCTGTTTCAGTGTCAGACAAGCACCAGTTCAAGAACGAGCAGGTGCTGTACCGATTCCGCTACGACGACGGCACCTACAAGGCCCGCAGTGAGATGGAGGACATCATGTCCAAGGTAGCTGTAGATGAGCATCGATACCTCATCTCATCTGTGCACAAGATTTACAGTAATTAATGTGTTTCACGTACACGTTAAGTCTTATGAATAATTTTACAAATTCGTTTATTGTAGAATCTTTTTTGAATGTCTAATTTCTAAGGAATAGAAGAACAGATGGAATCTATCAACTGAAGATTTGTTATATCGTATAAGAACTGTGACGTCACACATTGGTTTGCAAACTAGGTTTCGAAGCTTTGAGGTTTTCTTTTTTATTATTGCGTCCTGATGTCCTGTTTTTTTTTTTTTTTTGCCATTGACCGTCCTTTTTTTTTTTTTTTTTTTCAACACAAAAAGTGACGTGATGGGGAGTTAAGTACAACTTATTGCTGTTTGGAAGAACTCTTGTTTATAAGGCTACGGTAATACTTAAAGACACACGTCAACTCTATTGTCTTTCCAAATATACGTTATTGAATGTATTTGTTTTTAGTACATACACATAAACCCTTTTTTGTCGGGTTTATTCCCACCCTGGACTCTCTGATCCCTTTCCGTAGAAAACTAATAATACGTTGGCCCACGTATGCTCTCCCACTAATGCTTTGAAATGTCCGCCCTGAAAGGACAACCCAGGGGAAAGTCTTTTCACAGTCATCAGTTGAAGTGTCCCGAGGCGACGCTTGTGCTTGTTTACCCGAGGTGTGTTCGCTCTGTGAGTCAGCGCCTGCGCTTTTCTTCTCTCTTAGGGCGTCAGGCTGTACTGCCGCCTGCACAGCCTCCACACGCCGGTTATCAAGTAAGTACCTGCCCCCCCCCCCCCACACACACTCCCTGCTCCCTGTATGCTAATGTTCCCTCTCTCCAGGTGCACGGATGCATATTCATGAAGGGTTCACGTTCGGCCCACGACAGCCTCTCTAAACAAACAAAACACAAACATGCTCCATCCTCTGAATCTCATACAGTTCTCCATTAGTCCGTAGGTCTTCTCTTATGCACAATCTTATTGCCCAAAACCATGGCGAACATCAGCGTCAACTATACTTCACAAATGTTTCCCATTCGAAGGTCCGCCGCCCCTTCCTTCCTACTCTTACCCCCCTCGCCCCTCTATCTCTCCTCACATCACTCACCCGCTGATTGAAGTGCCCCGGGGTTCCCATTGCCGCAAACAAAGAGCTTCAGTGGGTGGGTGAGGAGGGGTGTACAAATCCTATTAACACACAAAGGCAATCCTTCTGCCCTGGCATCAAGATATGATGTAAGACGTCACTAAATTGGAATTGTAAGTAGAAACCATTAATTCTGACGTCGGCGTGATGGATGTATTGCCTTTAATGAAGCATAAATGATAACAAATCATCTGTTTTATGAATATTTGTGAAGAGACAAAGCATTGCGGTTTTGTAATCCGGTGAACAAAACACTAACGATGATAAAATAGATATAAACCTTCTCAAATCGTTGACTGTCACGGGCTGTAGATGACAATGGATGGAGAAAATCATAAATCAGCAGACGTTGCCTGGGAGCATCAATATGTGCGCCTCTGAATGCGTCGGTTTACAAAGCGGGCGCTCCCCTGCAGCCACACCCGATGTCTCACTCACAGCAGAAGATTAAGACATTGAAATACTCATTTGACAGGCGTGTGATACACCCGGCGAGTCACGCGTCCTCCGCCTAACCCTTCCGGTTTCACGTGTTAACGCGCCGAGCGGCCAAGCTGGTGCTTGTGTAATCTCACAGGAGCCCGGAGGTTAAAACAAAGGAAAGGGCAGTAAGTCGTTGTTCCCCCGGCGGGGTTAAGAGAAGTGTAGAACAACGGGCCGTCTGCAGCAGACGAGGACTGCGCAGTGGTGTTCAGCTCGTAACGTGGATGTTTTTCTGGGGCTTTTCTCACTCAATGTTCTCGCCTCCTATTTAAGAATAAGAATGATGCTGTCGACCACAAAAGAGGCCACAAGCTATTTTCACCTTTCCGCAACACATTTTATAAATGCTTTATTTCATTTTGCTCTTTTCTAGGGACAGAGACCACCATCTGAAAACCTTCAAATCTGTGGTGCCTGCCAGCAAACTGGTCGACTGGCTGCTCTTGCAGGTAATATGAGTGCCCGTTGTAGAGGACTCTCTTTCCCGTTTGAGTGTATATATAAATCTTCGCTATTTATTCCATTGCATATGAAACTAGCCACCCAAATAACCTAATTTAAACGAAGTCTTTATATACATTTATTAAAGTCACCTTGCATTGATCCTCATCCCAGCTACACACAGAAGCTCAGGCGCTGCAGCCTGTTGCGTTACGGTGTAACTGACCAACTGTATGCGTCACTGGTTTGGTTTCCCAGGGAGACTGCTCGACCCGAGAGGACGCGGTGACGCTGGGCATTGGGCTCTGCAACAACGGCTTCATGCACCACGGTTGGTACAGTTCACCCATCTCACACGTCATTTCAGCATGAGATAACAGGAACTCAATGGAACTTTGACTTCTGTGGGAGTGTCTCTTGTCCTCACTCATTTTGTTGTTGTCTCCTTATTAAAAAAAAATATTTTATTTTTTATAGCTCAAAATCACAAATTACAAATTTGCCCCAGAGTGCTTTACAGTCTGTATACGCGCAACATCCTCTGTCCCGATGCCTGACGTCGGCACAGTATAATAAAAAACGATAAAAAACCCCCTCAATGACGTGAGGGGCTATGAGTGTTAAATAAAGCTTCAGATAATAAGCACATAATTAGCCGCTTGTACTGAAGATTATCCACTAATTAACTTATTTTAGCTAGAGCTGTGAAAATTGCGATGGCATCAGATACTCTGGCGACAGGAAGTGAGGCTGCACACTTGCCATAAAAATGTAACATCAATCTCTCCTCTGTCACGCAGTCTTTTCTTGAAAATATTTGCACGTGCAACTTCACTGACTACGTTGCAGCGGAGCAGCTCGGACGTCTTTCCCAGCGTGTTGCGTAAACAGCTTTAGCAGAGTACTCTAACCAGAGCGGAACTACATTGCTGTCTGGGTCGTTCCACTGAACCAGGACCGCTGGTTGAGGTCTTGAATTGAAACATCCAGCTTCATTGGCGCACAAATGTGTTGCGTGTAAAACGAGACCCACTTAAAAGAAGCACTTAGTGGTGGAGTACGGAGAAAGTAACATGAAGACATCGCTTCCCGGTGTGTATAGTGACTCATACCAACTGGAATCTAGGATGAAGAAGTTGAATTAGGTCTTCTGGTTTGAACGGAAGTGGTTTGATTTCCGAAGGATCCTGGTAACCCTTTAACAAGTACTGCACAGGTGTTCTTGCAGGTTACACACAGGCAGACTTCATGGGTGGTAGTGAACAGTACCACGGCTTAAATGGAGCCCAAACCCCTGCTGATTTAAAAACAAGGAACGGCTCACAGGAAGTTTCACAGTGACTTTATCCTCACTTTCAGATCCTCACGCATTTGCCTTTTTCCCTCCACCATCTGTTTGAAGGTGTCACCTGTTCTCCCTCCGCTCTGCTCTTCTTCAGGGTCACAACCTGTCGTCGCTCCGCTCAGCCGGTCTGCACACCTCCCCTCTCCTCCGCTCTGTAGTCTTTACTTAGCACATCCTCTCTCTTCACCCGGTGAAGGGATCTGCTTTTTTATTCTGCCCTTGTCTTCCTTGAGTCTCTTTTCATGCGTGTGTGGCTGTTTGTCTTATGAGGTTACTGGTGGGAGGATCCCTGAAGATGGATCATTTACAACTCATCGTTTGACAGTATACCAATACTGAAAGTAGCCGTAAGGGAAGACTTTCTCCACCACAACGTTCTGATCTACGTAATCCAGTTATTCACGAGGAAACCAAATATAATTCATTATTCTGAAGTACTTCTCTAAAAAGTTGTTTGACTAAATATTCAACAGAATGAGCCTTTAAACGGTTTTCAGGGTGTTCGGGCTTTATCTGGGTTGTCGTAATGCAATTGTGTGTGTAATCACTTTTTTATTTAGTTCACCCAAGGGTGCCAGATGTTTGCCAAATCTCTCCAGCTGGGTAGCTTCGGCTCTGAGTTGCCTGTGCTAGCATCATTTTATACATGCACACACCCACACAAACCAGGTCAATATGTTCTCCGCTCTGTCCAACACAATAAAACCCGCCTCCCACATTGCGGCTCTGGTCCAGATGTGACCATCACATGTCACTGTCATTAAAGACGCACTTGCACCTGTTGGCGAAACCGACAGGGAAGAATTATTCGTTCAAGGTTCCAAAGAAAGCAACAACAAATTTGCAATTCACAAACAAGAAAATTGTTTGTGAGGACAATAAATCCTCACGTAGTGTAACCGAGGGCCTCGTGTCAGTGGCTCATCTTCTTATCAAAGAAACCTGAATGAATGTTTGTGAGCTCAAGCAGCGGTGACCGGGGACGAGCCCCAGGTGTCTGCGTGGGATAACGCTGTTCCTTGTGTCCTCCGGAGGGTTCCTCTCCAGGCCCGGCCTGAGCCGGCTACAACCCAGATGTGTCGTGGCTCCAGATGTTCCCGCTGGCGCCATTAGCTAATGAGCTTGTTAACCGTTTTTTTGCCTGTCTGCGCGGAGATGTCCGCACATTGAAGTGGCGGTTTCATGGGCAAACACTCGGGTGTCTCGCGCTTCCCGTTTAGTGCAAAGTCCATTTTTCAAGAGCATCAATCGGTCGCTTTGAGCACCAATACACTTCAGGTTTTTAACACACATGCATCAATGGACGGTCAAAGCTCATGCTAGATGCATTTTTGGGCAACCTTTTTTTTCTGAAATATAATTCAATTTGGAAATTTCCGTCAGCTGCTTTCTGCTCACACGCTGTGCGTTTTCCCTCCTCAGTCTTGGAGAAGAGCGAGTTCAAAGACGAGTCCCAGTTCTTCCGTTTCTATGCGGACGAGGAGATGGAGGGAACCAGCACCAAGAGCAAGCAGCTCCAGCGCAATGACTTCAAACTCCTCGAAAACATCTTGGCCAAGTCCCTGGTGGTGAGCTGATACCCGGGCACGCGCACATGCATGGATCCTTGTATTTGTTTATTTTAGGGGAAATCTTTGGTCAAAATGGGAAACAATCGATCCATGGAGATGGGTTAAAAAAACAATCGTTCCACATAAATCTGGTTATGCATCACTCATTCGTGCATACATGCTCACACACATGCAGGGTGGTGTGTGTGTGATAATTTGACAGGGCTGCATTATACTTTGCAACTAATTGAACTGACATTCTGGCATCTACACTACGCTGCACTCCAGTTTGTTTAAGCTGTGCACGTGGGTGCGTTCTTGTCTCCAATCTCCGGAGCTGGATGTGTTTGCCCCCCTTCCCCTCGGCCCATGGGAGCGGGGGTTGCTTTGATGGCAATAAACACCTTTTAAATCCGCTTTGATCCGCATGCATCTCAATGAGTGTTGTCTTGTGCCACCTGGGACGAGGTCCCTTCAGAGATTAATCTAACGAGAGGCGATCAGTGCAGTCAGAATTATTATACACTCGTCATTTGAGGATTTTATTTAAGTGTACGGACCTGAAACTGTGCAATATGAGTACATATTTAAGTTCATTATTAATCCGGGATACATTTAACAACCTTCACCCATGAGCTGGGAGATTAAAGTGAAAAGATGAGATGTTTAAGATGTTTCATAGAGGCCAGAAGGAGTAGGAAGTATCTCCCAAAACTTAAAGTGCAGAACAAATGCTTTCCAGAGGCTGTGTTTATTTAAGTCCATTCTCACTGGGGAAAACCTAGAAGCATCACTAGATCCCTCTTTATGCCACAGCACGTCGACTCGCTATCCGGCCTCCCATAAGAAGTGGAAGAGCCCCCCACCCCCTTGATTGGCGCAGCTAATCCTCCCCTCCCGGCTATTATTGAAGTGAAGGGCAGGAACTCTTTATTTACCACAGCCATCTCCTGTGATGTAACCGCAGAGATCCCCATCTTATCAGGGCCGTGCAGCAGGAAGATGGCCCCGGCAGCTTACCTAATGGAAGCACGCTAATGTGTCGGGTGATGACAGCGTTCAACTAAGCTTCGCCTCACTGGGGAATAGAAAGTGAGATGCAGGCAGAGAACATCATCAGGAGAAAGACACCTGACACGCACCGCCAATCACAGATTGGAAATCTGCGATAACGTCCGGGTAGTTTGTGCATAGGAGCATCTTTTTTTTTTTTTTTTTAAACAAAGCTTCAGTGAGTCCTCAGCAGAAACTGGGTCATTTTATCAACAGCATGCAGAGTCAGATGTACCACAAGGCCTGATGTGAAAAATAAACCCAGAGGGGCAACGAATATGAATGTATACTGTATGCCATGACAATTATTTTGCCACTCACTCACTCGTGATGCTGAACACAGTGAAAGACATTCTAAGACTAACAACCCGTCCCCCGTGTAAGTGTGGTAATCACTTGATTGTCTATGCACTAGATTCACCCTGAGGAAGAAGACTACGGCTTTGAGATCGAGGAGAAAAACAAGGCCATTGTGGTGAAATCCGTCACCAGGGGTTCACATGCTGAGGTAATGGCCAACACACACACACACACACACACACACACACACACGCATATCCTCCCCGCCCCGGGGCATTAGTTCCAGGAGGTAATGGCTGTCTACTGTTTTGACGGCTGCTGTCAGTCTGCCTCCGCGTTGCTTCTCAGTGGCTTCGTTCCGATTGGCTTTAATACCATTAGACAGGCTTCACAAAAAGAACACACGCACACAGCAATCTTTAGTATTGTTTGAAATTTTATATTGTAGACGATGAATTTACAACCAGCATGATTGTTGACTTTCTGTCGGACATGGTCTGTTTTGGTGATTTTGTGATGTTCAGGGTCTGCCTGTAAAAATGGGATTTGTCATATCTGTGGCTAGTCAGCAGTGACAGAATTTTCTTTTTTTTCTTGGATTTCCCCCTCGGCTGCATATCAGCCAGCACTTTGTTCTTTTTGGACAGGAGCAAATCTGACCAGCAGCCAAACCTGCGTCCCATTTGGACAATCTTTTCTGGCATCTTCCTACTTGAAAACGCAGGACGATGTCCTGGCTGTTTGTGGATTCTTCCTTTCCTACAGATCCAGGGATTTGGAAACCCTTTACTTTCCTTGCAGTCTTTTAATTTACCGTAATCCATATTGTGTCACTGGTTTTGAAATTCAACCTTCGACATCCCTGTCTGTTGTTTAACGCGTTGCAGTTGTTTCCCACACTGCTGCTCCATTGAAGTCGTAATCTGGGCAATCGTTTTCCTCTGCCTGTTCCACCCTCCTCTCCACTTCCCCCGGTCTCCTCTTCTGTTATTCATTCCCCGTCTCATTGGTTCCCCCACAATAACAGGATTGCTGGTTGTGACACGGCCCTGCGTGCCAGCAGGGTGAATGAAGCTCAGCTGATTCCCATGGGGGGCTCCGAAAAGGGCTGACGGACACATACAGGGCTCTTTCACTATATGATGCTGTTATAGCAAATCACATGCAGACAGGCACCCGTGCTGTATACACACACACACACACACACACACACACACATCCTTCCTACAGCCAGCCCTGGGGGCGAGGAGGTGGGGGGGTTTGGGCTCAGCTCAGCCAAGACCTCCCCACCGGATCTGTGCCCAGGAGCCTGGACTCACAACACACACAGGCAGCATTATTCTTACCACGTGACTAGAGATGTGCAAGATGACTTCATAAAATGACGTGCAGCCGGCTGTGTCTCCGTCATTTGAAAATAGGGGTTTACAAAGCCGTCCATGTAGCTCAGGGATGCTTGACACGTAAGCATGTATGTGTGCAGCTGTTGCATAAGGCAGCATCTCTGTTATTCATGTGTATACAACTTGTATAAAGTCACCCTTCAATCTGGAATTTATAAGCATGCAGTCAGGACACTCGAGTGTAGAGTGCACCTTAATTGTATCCAGGAGCCAATCTCTATACTACCCATATAAAAAGGGCTCATCACATGCATACATGGTAAGACTGGCTGGGGAAATATTGAGTGGATTTTCAATTGCAGTGTTCCCTGAGACATGAATACTAAACTTGGACTTCTTTTTGGGTTGACTGAGGTCAATACTTGGGGGATTCTCTCTCTCTGCTTAATGCTGCACACATTTCTGGAGGCTCGTGGCCACCTAAAGCTCTTGCTGTGCAGTGGGGCTTTAGAGGAAGCTGTAAACATGCTGCAGCCTAAAAATAACCACCATTGTGCGTCTGTCCGTCCAGATGGCCGGCCTGCAGGTGGGGAGGAAGATCTTCACCATCAACGAGGACCTGCTGTTCCTCAGGCCCTTCTCGGAGGTGGAGACCATGATCAGCCAGGCCTTCTGCATACGACGCTCCCTGAGGCTGCTGGTCGCCACCAAGGCCAAGGAGTGAGGAACCGCACACTCGCGCAAAAGATGCACAAAGACGCACACACACTGAACTCAGGACTCACTGGTCCGACTGGTCTTTTCTCTCCCAGGATTGTGAAGATCCCGGACAACCCAGACAGCCTGTCCTTCAGACTCTGTGGCTCCGCCCCTCCGCATGTCCACGCCGTCAGGAAAGGTCAGTGACTTCATTTGACAAATGAGAATAACAAGCAGGATAATTCTAATTATCATTATAAAATAATAATAATTTAATAATATAAACGATTTGTAAACGATTTTCCTTGCTTATCTCCCAAATTAAAATTTGACTTATTAGTTATAGTCCTTGTTTACTCAGCTCACAATAAAGTAGACAACAAACACTATACTGTGAACACATTTGTAGGAGTTTGACCTTGTTATTGCAAACCTTTAGTGACTTCTGGGGGGGAAAGATGAAGTAACTCTAGCATCCAACCACCTGTTACTTTCTGCTTTTAGTGAGCCTCCATTAGGTCTTTATGGCCACCTGTCTGCCAGACAGGCTGCTGACAGGATTTCAACCCCTAATAGACTCTGCTTTTAAGACCCACTCACACGTTGCTCTGTGATCAGAACAAAGCGTAAAGAAGAGTAAAGCTTCCCCACACGTTGGTTCTAATTCCTCCCGCTGTGTCCTCGCAACCAGATGTTTTCACCACCTACTCGCAATAGAAACAAGTGCGAGTCATGACAAGTGCAATGAAAGATGAATCCAAATGTGTAAACCAGGCAGGAGCAAGCGAGGACACACACCAACACCGCAGGGAGAGAAGCCGCTGCTAAACACATCCAAGGAATGCAATCTCATGCCTTTACTTTTCTTTTTTTAAGGCCGGGGGACTCCCCCGCTTCCTCTTGGCCCCAGTCCTCTCCCCTCTCCTCTCGTTCCCAGGGTCTTGTATCACTTGTGGCCTCTCTGCTAAATCAGTTCCTAAACCAGTCCCCCAGTGTGATATCCACGCATGGGGTCAAATGGCCCCAGAGTTGGGTAATTATTGCCGATGCCAGCACGGGTATTTTTAGGGCGGAGAGGAAGGTGTTGATTGGACTTCCAGGCGGCGTGTTGTGGCATTGAACTGAGTAATTGTTTACTTTCCGCAGAGAAACCAAATGTAGGACTTTCACCTGACTTTCACCTGACGTGGGTTGTTTTACGTCTCCATTGTGCCTTAAACCACCTTGTGACCTCCACCCTCTGCTCCTGTTTCAACACTTGCAGGTTGGGAGGCGGCGGGGTCGGGGCTTCAGCCCGGACAAGTCGTCCTCAAGGTCAACGGCAACAACGTCAACCACAGTGACTACCAAGAGGCCCTGGAGCACTTTGCGGCGCAGCACACGCACCAGGACCCCCCCCAAGCGGTGAGGAGACGCGTGAAAACAAACAAGGACGCGCAATCCTTTCTTCATTCGCGTGGCCTTTGTTGAGTTTTTATCGAGAGTGTTTGAAATAATAGGAGCTTGTAGGTTTGAAAGGGAATCAACCGGGTCTTCCAACAACACGGGACAACCAGAACAGCAGTAACCCAGATCGTCCTGTCCCGAGACGGAACATAAAACAAAATCAGTTAGTTCGAGCTCCAATGTTTGTTCCTATAAAAAAAAGCAATACATCTATCGTACTTCATGGATTCTTTGTGTTATGCCACTGTAATGTTTCTTCATTTCATCAGCGTTCCAACAATGGGTGGCCAAGTGATCAAACACATAAATCACTGGCTGACACTGGTTGTCGCTGCAGGCCATTTAAAGCGAGGGTGGAACATTTTTCAGCTGTAGGTACAATTACCCGAGAGAAAAGGTAGCCTAGAGCAACACATCATCAACCAAGTTCCACTCCTGCTGCTGAATTTCTTTATTTTATTTGTTTACTGAGCAAACCCTGTTGAGGTTGTTTGGATATTGTTTTATTTTGCCGGCCCACAGCCTTGTTAGGGGCTTGTTGCAGTAACCGCATGCTGTGTAGATGTAGTTGTAAATGTGGCTCACTGATCGCCAATTCCTGGCTGCTGCATCAACCCTGAATACCTTGCAAGGTGGAAAGTGTCTGTGTCCACAGGCCATCTAGAAATACTTCAGATTCTTGCCATCTGTGTATTAAATACACTCACATCTACATCTTTGTATTCAAAAAATGCCCACAACAGTAATTAGTTCTAATAAAACCTCATTATCTGTATTCCATGCTCCCCTCCATTGATCTCACCTTTTTCCTTCTGCACATTAAAGTAATGCCATGTTTCCCGCAGTGTCACTGGGTGTATCGTACCTTTGAGGACGTGGAGGAGCTCCAAAGAGAGCGGGGGGCAGACGAGAAGGAGGAGAGCCCTTTCAGTCCGTATCCAGCGGAGAACGGTTCGGACCCCGAGGGGGAGAACGGCACCAATGGAACAGGTGAAAAACAATGTCTATGCTGAGAAGTAACACCGTCCGGTGTGTTTTGGGGATCGTAAATCCCAATTTGTAAATGCTTTGCTTGAATTAGTTTGGAGTTGAAATACTGACGTGGGAAAGTTGTGCTCCGCAGACCACCGGCTGGGCAGACTGTCTCTCTGTGATGAGTTGCCGCTCGTCAGCGTGACGGTCGATAACGTCCACTTGGAGCACGGCGTCGTATACGAGTACGTCAGCACTGCTGGCATCAAGAGCCACGTCCTGGAGAAGATGGTGGAGCCCAAGGGCTGCTTCAGCCTCACTGCCAAGGTAGTTTGATTATCTTAAGATGATTAGTGAGTTGAGAAAGAGTGCTGCCAATCATTTTGTAGCAGCTGTCAAACCGACACAGATGGCGGCGGGCTGCTTGGAATGTTATTTTGGACTCTGCATTATAATAAAGTAAATCAAGTTCATCAACTTTAACTGCAGGATTGATCCATCCCCACCATTGTCTTGTATCCACACAGATCCTGGAGGCGTTCTCTGGCGACGACAGCCTCTTTGTTCGCAACTGCAGTCAGCTCATCTCCCAGAGTGACCGAGTCATTACCATGCCTCAGTACGAGTTCAGACAAATCTGCGACAGCAAATTGGAAAGTATCCGACGGCGCATCAGCAGCTACAACCAGGTACGAATACATTGGCCTCAGATCCAACTGTTGCACACAGAAAGATTCCCTACTGGTTGATATTAAAGACCCCGAGATTCTTTATTCATGTGTGACTTGAAATCATCATTTTAAAGAATAGAATCGAAGTGCCGGCCGTGCGCGTTGTGATTTCACTAAACGAAGCTCGTGTCCCCAGTTCGCCCTGGAGCTGAGGAACAAGGCGTGGCCCTCATTCAGGCAGGCCGGCGTGCGCCCCCACCCGCTGGGCTGCATGGACTTTGTTCCCACCAACTGCCACGTCAACTTCATGCAGGTGTCCTACCCCAAGAGCACTACCTCGGCTGGCAGGACCTTCAGCATCCGCTTTGGGCGCAAGAACTCCCTGTTTGGGATGGATCTCGACCAAGGTAGATGCGGGTGCACATCCCCGCGCGCACACACACACACACACACACACCTCTATCTGATACGTTTTCAGTATCTATGTCCCAAAACCGCTGCTTACACCAAGCTTCTCCCAGATCCTCCCTCTCTCTGACAACACCGCCTAACCCACGTAACACCCGTGATAATGTTGACTAATTGCCGTCCATGACCATTCAAACCCCTCAGCTCAGAGAAAGTAATGTGGAGTTCAGCCTCCCACGGTAGCCATAAGGTCTCAACAATTCACATAGTAAATTAGATGAGCCCTTAAGACTCCATTAGCCCCCGGCAGCATCCACGTTATTGTCAGTGAAGTGAATGATGTCATAAAAGACTGCTGCTGCTGCTGGGGGTCAAAGCAGGAGAGAAAGAGAGCGAGGGATCTGAGTGGAAATGGAATGTCGACAAAGAATAATTTCAAGAACAGTGTAAAACGTCAAGAAATCCTGTGTCCATAAAGAAAGGAAGAAGTACCCCGTCCTCTGGCCAATCTTTAGCTTCTGAACATACAACAAGGCTGGCATCGTTGTCGGCGATCCAGGAACGCCTCGCCTCGTCGCCATCGTTACAAGTCGCACGTCTGAAAAAGCACGTCTGGATGACGCCACTGCTCTTCAGTGTGCGAACCCGACGGCTCTCCCAGACTGAAGTAAAGGAGACGAGTCTGTCTCAGTCTGTAGCATAGGAGGAATTTAGGCTTACTACGTGAGGCGGAACTATTCTTTCGTCTGGCACCATACCCTGCATTGTTAAGGGACGTCTGGAATGTGCGTGAACTGTATATAAATGTAACGTGTGCTGTGTGCATTGATTAGGCACACCCCAAGAACTTTATCTGTCTGCGGTTTTAGGATTTCTCAAGTTATTGCTGTTTGGCATTTAACCCACAAAAAAATTGGCGCCCTTGTGCATAGCAGTTGCACTAGGGCCCCTTTTACGAAGTTGTTTTAAGAAGACGAAACTGTTATTTTTGAAGGTTTTTGAACATCTCTGCTAATGTGATGCAAATCTTATAGTGAAGTCTGTTTCTCTTACCTCCTGTGACCATGTATTCTCCCGTCTGTATCCATCCTGCAGCACAACTGAACCCCATGTCCCACACCCAGCACTGTGTGACCAGTATGGGCGCTCCCTCTTGGAGCTGCTCCGGCCTGGACGGGGACGAGGAGGAGGAGGAGGAGGAGGGCGGGGAGGTGAGGGTAGACGGAGGCGATGGGTCGACGGAGAGCCGGCGGGGCGGCCGCGGGGAAGGCGGGTTGAGCTTCCTGCTCAAGCAGGAAGACACGGAGACCCAGGACGCCTACATTCACTTGTACAGCCGGCTGGACGTCGCTGTGAGGGAGATGAGGCAGTACGTCGCTCAGATAGACGTGTAAGTCTCACAGTTTCGTTTACATCCTTTTGAGCAACTAAAAGATTTCACCGCTTTAACATCGTAAAACAGGCGTCATCTATGAAATCAAAATCCATGAAATCAATATCCATCCAGGCGCTATTTTCAGCTCCGCTCAAACATTTGTATTCCACTGGTGTTTAGATGTGAGTGGACTATTTTCGTAGCCTTCCCGGTGACATTTAGAGATCTCTGCATAAAAAGCAAGGAGCTGTTATCCCAACAGCAGCCTCCCGAGGCTGTTTGTCAGCCTCTCTTTGTCTGCCTGCCCTTTTGCCTTGTTTAAAACTGAGGATTTACAAAAGGAACATTCTTTAGGTCCAAAATATTTATGGGCCCGGGCTCAGGAACAGGAACAGGGAGTGCGGCCAGGATAACATCAAGAGAAAGAGACTCTTATTTTGTGTCAGTGCCGAGGAAGGGGCGTGACAGTGAGTCTGGATGTTGTTGTGAAGACTACGTCTGCGCGTGCTGTATGATGATAAAGATATAAGCATAGTAGTGAATGATGTCACTCCAATGTACTCTATACATTTATACATATGTACTAAAAAACACATTAGCCACTTTTTATTTCATGTATTCATGCACGTCGCCCCTCCTTTTAGCCTCTTGTCGTCTATCACCGAGCCCACGCAACTCCAAGGGGAGGGTGGGGAGCCTCCGGCCTACGAGCCGAGTCAGCCCCCCTCTCTGGCCCCCAGCGACGACGCCGTCGACCAGGACAAAGTGGAGCAGGGCGGCATCAAAAGGGTCTGCTTCAAGGTGAACGAGGAGGACCAGGAGGACTCGGGCCACGACACCATGAGCTACAGGGACTCCTACAGGTAACGCTTGATCAAGGAAATGTTTGTAAATATTGGAATGTAATCTGGTTATGAGCTCTCGGGCTGAAAAGGTACATAGACGCATATGTCTCTTCTCTATGCGCTAGCTGGTATGAAGCAGGACATCGATATTTAGCTTCTATAGGCACATCGGATACGTCTTTCACACCTGGATTTGTAACTGTGGACTTCAAAACATTGAAACTACTTTACCCTACGAACCCATAATGCTCATCAGCCCCCACCACCCCCCCTCTCTCAAAGTCATTCCAGATGTTGCTCTTTTTTTTACTGCGATCGAGGGCTAAAAATGACTTAAATGTTTTGGTCGGTTCTGGTTATGTCATTTGCTCGTTGTGAGTTCATTCAGATGTTTCTGCGTGTGTGTGTGTGTGTGTGTGTTCGGGCGCATGGTTTACTGGGCAGTTCTCCACTGAGCCTCACCCTCCACCACCCACTAAGATGTAGTTATTGGTTGTCGGTGTGGTGGGCTGGTGCGTAACAGAGCCAAATGTTTGGGGCGCAGCCTCCTCACCCACTCTGTCATTAAGGCCACGCCATGTGAAACAGGACTACCTCATCGCAAAAAAACGCTCTGGAGAAATGTTGTTTGCTGCGCACACACTCCTACTTCCAGGCACTGTCAAGTGTTGACTCAGGGTTTGGACCCCCCCCCCCACACACCTCGCCCCTAGAAGTAGCAGTCCGAGGCTGTGCAGTGAACGTGGACCAAGCAGCTGTGATGAAAGCTGCTACTGTGTTTCAGAAAGCGGTGAAACCTTTTTCCGTTGAGTCTTGCAGAGAGAATCAGACATGAAAGCCAGAGGTGGCGACGGACTCAACACTCGGAGGTCCCTGCCTGAGGAGCATAATGTGAGAGCGAGGACAGAAGGGGGGGGGGTCAAAGGCAGAAATGAGGAGGGAAGAAAGACCTGGCGATGAAGTAGTGCTTCGCTGCATCCTCATAAACCTTTGGCTCCCGTATCTTCGTATGACGCTGCCAGGACCTTTTTGTCTGAAATTAAAAGGACTGCGTCCGGATCCAGCTGGAACAGATTCCAGGTCCCTCCAGGCTTCAGAATGCATCTCGACCGATTGAATGGCCTTCATCACTTAACAATTCCAACACTCCTGTCTGTGTCATTTGTTTCCTCAGAATGTTTCCTCTACGAATCTCCCACTTTCCTTTTTTCCCCCTTGCTTCCTTACGCAATCATTCAATTCAAAACACTATAGTTTGTTTTCCGTTTTGTCCCTGAAGCTGTCGCTCCCAAAAGACGTTGAAGCTTTTTAGGAGCCGAGTAGTTCCTCGGTTGCTACTGTGGATCCTTTGTGGGACAATATGTCTGTTAATGCTACGCAAACCATTCAAGTGGTTTCAGTCTGCGCCGTGGCATTTTTTAGGTTTATGCATTCGTTCCACTGTGAATGATACATCTAGACTGTTTGCAAATAGGACATGGCTACAGTTGACAAAGTGTGTGTGTGTGTGTGTGTGTGTGTGTGTGTGTTTTTTAGGTTCAAGCCAGATTCACTACTTCAAGCAGGATAATTGTTACAATGGTGCTCACTTTTGGCAGGATGTGTGTGGTTACTTTTTTAGTGTGTTTGTGTTGGAGGGTGTGAGAGAGTGTTTGTGTGTGTTTGAATTCAGCCAAAGAGTACCAAACTAGTTCATACACAGTGTGTTCTTATGAGTGTGTGTGACTGAATGCCAGCAGAGAATTCCGGCCAAACTACTAAAAGACCGTCGTATTAACTCGCTCCCCCATAATTGGAGCAGCTCTGACGTAGCCAGGCACCACAAACACACACTCTCACTCTTTCTCTCACACACACACACACACACACACACACACAAATTAGGCACCACAAAGTAACCCGGCAGGTGATATCCAACCTCTGCTCCCCCACATTGTCCTCCAGCCCATTTGGGCTCCTCAAACAAGACAAGGTCCCTGCATTGACGTCTCTTGTAGGCGCCCGTGGTTCCGCTTGTCATGGTAATCGAGCCCGTGAATCACACACTGCTCCTGCGAAGGCTACAGCTTGCTGACTCGGAGCAAAGTATAATTTGAGTCACATAAATCTTCCACGTGCTCCCGGTAATCATGTTGAATCACGTAGACGCATGACTATAAATACCAGGCCGTGCCGTTTTGGGGAGTTGTAAGTCTTAGCCCGGAGGAACACAGCCAGCTACAAAGAGCATGTGTGCAGAGAGGCCAGCTCCATATCAGCATTCAAGTCCAGTGTGTTGGTTAATCTGTAAAATGTGTGGCAGTGTGTAAACCTGTGGCGGTTGGTTGCTGTGTGAAACGTTTAATTACCTTTCGGTCTCGCATACTGTAAATCAAAAAAAGGCATTTACAATCAGAAGGATTACTTGGCTGCATAATTACAAGACGCAGCTCTCCAAATCCTCTCTGTGGTTTGAGAACGGAATGAAGCCTTTGCTTTATTGTGCATTTAAAATTGTGTGTGTGTCCTCTGTTACAGTGAATGCAACAGCAACAGAGACTCGGTCCTGTCCTACACCAGTGTGCGAAGTAACAGCTCGTACCTGGGAAGCGACGAGATGGGATCAGGTAAAGGAAATGTACAATATCTCACCCTAAATCTGATGTGACCCTCCTTCTCGTTGGCTAGAGAGTAAAGACAATTTAAGGTAAACAACATGAGCGAGGCTGAAGCCAATGCACGCTTCCTGAGTGTCAAACAAAGACCAGACGTATTGGCTGTGTGCATGAAAGTGTGATTTCTCTTTTAGTTTGCGATCACATTCATCGTGTGTCATGCTTCCACTGCGCCAAAATAGAAAAATTGCAGATGTTTCATGGCGGCGACCATGGTCAGATAGTTCAGACACATTTCGTAACCCCGCAGCCACATTAGTTGCGCCGTGAGCTGTATGCGTCCAATGTGGGTTGATGTCTTTTTTTCATTTACACTATCAGGCATTTCTATTGAAACGATTTAGTGGCTTTCATCCCCTCTAATCTTTTTCATCGGAATCTAAATTAAAACCGATGACACGTGTTGTCCTGTGTTTTTTATTTTCCTGTTGCTAGGGGACGAGCTGCCGTGTGACATGAGGATCTCCTCGGACAAGCAGGACAAGCTGCACGGCTGCCTCGAGCACCTTTTCAACCAGGTGAGCTCAGGGCTTCGGCTTGGACTTATCGCTTCATTTATTTGGAAGTTTTGTATCCCCAAATCGGGATCCTTCATCTTCCCTGTGACCTCCTTTTCTTCCTCCATTCTGTCTTCCTCCTCACACACTCGCACTGACTGACTGACTGTGTGTGTGTGCTTCATTCCCTGCCCACAGGTGGACTCCATCAACTGCCTACTCAAAGGAGCAGTCATGTCTAAGGCCTGTGAGGAGACCAAGCACTTTTACTCTGACCACACCCAACCGGGTACGTATGCATGTCCGTGTGTGAGTTCTTGTCATGTTGATGGTGTTCCGCAACAGATGCACGCGCTCACACGTTCCTTGTTAAACAGAGTTCCGACAAACAGAAGATTGGACGGTTCGCTGTCGCCACATCATCCACAAGAACATCCAGGAGGACCCTTGGAACCTCCCCAGCTCCATCAAAACCCTGGTGGAGAGCCTGCAGAGATTCGTGGACGGTTAGCACAAACACACACACGGCACACGGCGCACGTGATTCATGTAGTTTCAATTCAAAAGTCATCTTGTTTTCCTTCTGTCCCCACAGATGGAAAGAACCAGCTTCTCCTGGCTCTGCTGAAGTGCACAGGTAGTGTAACACAGAGTTCAAAGTCAAAGCGATAGATAAATACCTGCTCCAATTGTCCATAAAACCACCCGAAGAGCGGTCTAGATTCTGCAGAATTCGGCCACAGGCAGCAGGAAATATCTCATAACTGGAGTATTTTGAATGATTCCAACAGCTTTGCAAATGAGGTCATCCATCATATGAAAATGCAGCTGCTTCTACAGCCGAGCATCTGCAGGTCCTTAAGACATCTTCAAAGTTACTAAGTTATAACAGAAATATCTGTTTGATGTGGAGGATGTAATGCCACAGGATTAAACGTCAATGTTGTTTCTTTCAGTTTGTCACATGAGTAATAATCCACGTCCACTTTTGTATTAATATTGAACAGCCTAATATCATAGCCATATGTCAGTATGTTTTGATTTCACCACTAAATACATTTCAACATCTGCTTAATTTTTTTTGCAATAAAGCAGATGTTGGGAAAATGTGTCTTTCAGCACTGTTTTTGTTTTGAATATCAGTGCAGGCACGAGGTCTTGGTGTCAGAGCACATGACGCTCCGCTCCCTTTGAACTGTGCACAGTGGCATACGGTGCTGGTTAATGTGATGGGAGATTTCCTCTCGGGATCCATGGAATAAAATATTTGTAGCGGAGACACTCCATGTGTAACCAGGAAGCTTACCATGAGAAATAGAAATGCCTTAACCCTCCTATGCCCCCCCCCCCTCCCCTACCTGCACTCCCCGACAACAGACACGTCTCTTCAGCTGCGGCGAGATGTGATCTTCTGCCAGGCGGCGACAGGCGCCCTGTGCACGCTGGCGGAGCAGCTGCTGGCGGCGCTACGGTCACGGTTCAACAACGCCGGCGAGTACCAGGAGGACGGCAAGGAGACCAGCCGCAAGTGGCTGGAGCAGATATCCGTCATCGGAGTGCTGCTGCACTTCCAGTCCACACTGGCACCACACCTGGTGAGCGCACATCGAGCAGCCGGGGCGTCCCGCTGCGTCCACGATGCAGCCCCGTCTCCCGGCTCCTTAAGGGTTTCTGGCAATGCAGCTGTCCTCTGCTGCGTGGCACCTCTTATCGCGCCACGACTGAACTCTTCTTTTTTTTTTAATTCTCCCCTCCCCTGGCAGAAAGAGGAGCGGACCATGCTGGAGGACACCAAGGCGGCCCTGTTGGACTTGGACAAAGTCACTGTGTTCTTCAGGCAACTGGAGGATGAGTGTCTCGTCGCAAGTAAGAGGCTCCATCACGAAAGACTGACTCTGCCCATTCACCACCCGCCCCCCCCCGCTGCTAATGAGCAGCTGTATGGTTCAACCAACTCTGAATAAAGTTCCATTGTGTGGGTGCATGGAAGCCATTGAGAGCGAAATTGACATTTTGTCATTGAAGATTTTGTTTTCTCTTTAATGGGCCGCGACTGAATAGGAAGCTAAAACAACACCGCTGTGGCCCCACAAATCATCTTCATCAATGCCACAGCATGCAGCCTCACACCAGGGTGCCGCTCTGAGACACATGAAATACCGACACACACGGAGGCGGTGATAGATATATACGCAAACAATACTCCACTGCATAAATGTCTGCAGCCCACCACACAGCTCAAGGTCGGAGCAAGGATTTTAATAGAAGAGTGCACTGCGCTCATTTCAACAGGGAGGTTGTTGTTATAGTGGCCATTGTGAGCGTTGCCCTGGGCGCATTCATGCCTTTTAATAACCCCCGTACCTGTATTCATGGAATGGGCTCGCCAGCCAGCAGAAGCCTTAAAGCCAGCAGGTGCAAAAGGAGGATCGCGTCCTGAACCGGTTCTCCTGTCAGCCGCCTCAATGTGGCCGGCAAAGGAAAAGCACCACGTGCACTTCCCATTCTGGGAGGCAGGGCGACAACTGAAACAGGGTTTTGTTATTTCAGGATCACGTTCTGCAGCAGAAAGTATTTAATGTGGCATGTGAATATTTTGCACAAACATGCAAACCAACACACATGCTGACTCGTTCATTCATACTTCGTAATACGTACGTACGACATGTTGAGATACGGACCCAACCTCCTACACCTTGATGTAAAAAACAAACTGCATTTTCTGCTCAGACTGCTGCAGTGCAGGCGGATCGAATGGTTCGTGGCGGCAGCATTCATTGGGCAGTATTGATTAGCTCATAGCATAGATTAGCTCATCTCCGACTAACCGGGAGCTATTGGTGAGGCACAATTGTGTGATCATCACAGTCTGAGGCATCACGGCCAATTCCACAGGATTAGAGCTCTGTTCTTCTCCCTTAACTAAGCTCATGTGTCACAGTCAGAAGTTTGTGTTCTACGTTATTACTGGTCATATACTGTTAATAGAATTGTAAAAGATTTCTCACAAGTGATAAAGTAATGACACATTCTAGTAAACCACACGGGGGGGAGAAAGATTTAACAGATGCACCAACCTCTGTCCATTTGTACTGCTCAGTAATGTGGACTTTAATTCTGTTTCTTTAAAAGACAATCTTATGTCTGCAGTGTATTTGGCAGAAGCTGCTACATTAAAAACAAACAACGGTTCGTGTCTGGCAGATTTTCCCAAAATGATTTAACGCGGTTATACCGATGTTATATTTAAATGGACTTTCTGTTACCGTGCAGTTCAAATGAAGGCTTTGCTGGGCACGAGAGTTTTCATTCAGTTTTGACGAGGCTGTTTCTGTTACGTCTGCAGGGATTTTAGTTTTATCCCTCATGGTAAAAAAAAAAAAGCTCAATAACTCAGCATCCAGCACGGTTGAGATGTGGACTTTTAGACGCGTTCCTTTTCACTCTGAAGTCTATAACGAGAGGGGTCACTAGCTGCACAGCCCCTCACCGTTCTCCTGTGCTGCGTGAACAGCCCAAATGCTAATGGAGCTGCCTGTATCTGTGCATTGCAGACACGCCGGTGTGTTACCAGGTGGAGGGCAGCCGGCAGGCCCTGCGGGTCACTCTGTACCTGGACAGCTGTCACTTCAGCGAGCTGCCCACCCGGCTGCAAAACGGAGGCAGCCTCAAGCTGCAGACCGTCCTCTTCACCAGGGGTAAGAATAGAACATCTGTGCACCAATACTTTCTGCTGACAATAATTAGACTTCTTCTAGTTGTCCATCGGTCTCTGTTGGCCCGAGGAGAATGGCCGCCATTGGGCATCATGCCCGTCTGCAAAATAGACATTATACCTCCACAGATGAGCACCAATTGGAATACTAACCCGATGACAGGGCTCATTTCATTCTCATGTGTTGAACTGGAACCAAGTGCTACATCGCAGCTTCAGATCCATTCAGCCAATGACGTCTGTGGCTGAACGTTGCCACCTAGTGGAAAATAGTCTTTACTGCTCATGGGGGGTCGGCTGTTACGCTACCGCCGGTGCTGAAGTTTGTGTCATCCAGAGCCAGAGTGTCTGGCTATACATATGAGCACCATATGTCCTCTTATGGGTTAAAAAACCTAAGTAAGGTGATTTAAGACACTTGTGAAAATGTTTCACATTGGAGGTTAATTTCACGCTCTAGGCTGGTTGGATCGAATGGACTTCAGATGGACAGTCAGTAATCAAAATGATGTTCGGGAAAGTTGGTACCCTGCTGATGTTTTAAAATGCGAGGGTTTAAGTTGAAGGACACGTGGCCATGTGTGCGATGTGTTGATCTAAATGTTTCGTCCAGCCCTGGAGCGTCCGGAGGGTGTGTCCCAGCACGACTACGCAGCCATGGAGGAGTTCCAGCAGCGCACCAACGCCGTCTCTCTGGAGAAGGTGAAGGCCTACTACCGCCGGCTCAGGTACGTCATTCTCTACTGCGTCAAATTCCTCACCAGGGCTTGGGATATTCTCCCCCTTAAAGGGAGAGTCCACCCTGTGGTGCACAAGCTGGCAGACGTGCAGCTTGGACTGCTGTCTGAACAAGTTTCAAGGTCTAGAGTTGTTCAAGGTGACAACTGGCCGCGTCCCAGTGGCTCGTGTGCTAATCGGCGGGTGTGATATTTATGCATCACATCCGACTGATCATCAAACCGCCTTTGATAGGAATTTGGTTAACAGTGACTGGTGTACTTTTGTGATTATCTGTCTGCATCATATTTCTTTTAGATATCACATGTGCAAAATACAATGTTTTTTTTTAAAGAAGTGGAAAATATATTCAGAAATTTAGGCTCATAAAATATTTATAGAGCTGCATATATGACTGAAGTATTCTTAATTTCCATTGAATTGTTATTGTTTATTGGTCTGTTTAAATGATAGTGATTATAATAACATGGCTTTGATTGCTAATGCAACATCAACAAATAATAAAACGTGTACTGTAATAGACACATATTCTCTAAAGTGAAGGGCTCCAGATGCCAGATGACTCCGCTCTCACACAGATTGAGTCAGAGGAGAAAAACTCTGACGATCTCAGGACAAGATGGAACTAGTTATGTGTTTTTCCCCAACAGGGCTTTTTATTTGGAGAAGTCAAATCTCCCGACAGACTCGAACACCACAGCGATGAAGATAGACCAGGTAAATATACACTAATTCTACTTTGCACTCTTTGTGGTTTTTCCAATTGTACCCTGTTCTTGTAACATGAGTCCATTTTTATATAACGTTGTGACTGGATATAAATGCAAGCACAGATACTGGGCCTTGAAGTTAGAGACCTGCGACCAAGCATTTCAAAAGTAAGATGTACTTGAGTTGAATCCGCACCCTCCACTAGTTTGCCAGGACTCCCCTATTAACTCCAACTAACCTCAACATTATTAAACTGCATCCATCTGAACCCCGGAGGTGATTAGATTAGGAAACAGATCCTAGTGTCCCACACTGACTGTAGCTGAACTAGATTCCAGTGATTAAAGCTGAATAGAACATAGTTTCAATTGTAGTGCCTCATTCTCAGGTTTTTATTGTCTTTCTAAAGAAAGTCTCCAGAACCTCTTTGTGTCGTACTCAATGATTTCCTCTTTATATTTGCTGCTGCAGCATCTTAACAAGTCAGTGACTCTTCTTAGTTTAGTATTGAATATTGAAAAGTGGTTGGAGACCAATCCACTTGTTTCCAATACAGATCAATTGTATTTTGCTCTAATTTAAAGAGACACTTAACTCCCAAATCCATAGTAACATATTCTGCAGACATTGTTTCCAGAGGTTAAAGCAGTATTCCCATTAATCTGAAGAGAAGGCGCAGCGATCTACAGACAACACGTAATACATCTATTGTTTTTTTTGTTTTTTTCCCGATATTCCCGTGTAACCCTTCCGTATTAAGCGTAGGACATAAACAAGCACAGCCTTTAAAACGTAGCGCTACGCTAACCGACTTGGTAAGATGGAAACTTTCCCTGTGGTCAACCTCTCATTTGCAGTTAGTGTGACGCACTGACACCCCCCCCCCTCTGCGTCTGCTCCTCACAGCTCCTTCGACCCCTCAACACCCTGGACGACCTTTGTCGACTGATGCAGTCATACGTCAACGTGCGCCCGAGCGCCCAAGGCCACCCGTCGGGTGTCAGCGTGCTGTGCGTGTCGTCGGAGCTGTGTAACCGCCTGGGGGCCTGCCACATCACCATGTGTGGCACCGGCATGCAGAGGTCAGTGTGTAGCAACGCCAGACTAGAGAGAAACCCAGCGACGCCGCACTGCTTTATGTACAGTTGTACTATAAGGTGTTGTTTGGGAACAACCCCATTCAGTAAGTAAGTAGAATGTATTAATAGAGCACTTTATACAGACCAGGATCACAAAGTGCTTTACAGGGAAGGAATTCAACATAAAGAGAAAAACACAGTGTGACACGTGATCGAATACACCGTGTAAAACAAAGTGTTGTGCCTCTGTGTTTTGTTACGGAGGCACATGCACAGCTGAACCCTCTTAACCCGTTTTGTTCTTTGCAGATGTTCCCTGAATGTGACACTGGAGCAGGCGATGATCCTCGCCAGGAACCACGGCCTCATGCCGCGCTGCACCATGCAGACCATGGATATAATGCGCAAACAGGTAGCGCTCAGGCCTCGCACCTATATTTGGTTTAATAGAACTTATTTCAGTAAGAACTAGGACTGGTAATTTGGCATTTGGAAATAATTCTGACAATGATAGAAAGTGAGATTTTTTATATTGATTTATTTACATACAATAATACAAAAGTCACGTTCTATTTTGAAGTTATCTGATGTCATGAGTGGAACAAGTGTTCCACAGAACTACAGGCTCATGTAAAACAACTACCTACCTACTACCTACTACTAACCAATTTAACCATACAGTTGTTTGTACTTTAATTACAATTTGCTTTGAATTATTTACTTTACACGCAACAACTTTACACGCTTGTAAGTGAAAACAATGTATTGTAAAATTAAGTAAGCACAAATTTACTGTGTCAATGACGACTAATATTCAATCACCGTGCCCGTCATATATAAAACTTGACATAATGTGCCCTGACTCACAGCAGGTATGTCCAGACATTGTAGGCTTTTGAATGCTAAGCCGTCCAGAGTAACGTGGTCATTGTAGAGACTGTAGCATAATGTTTTCTGGGTTTTTTTTCATTTGGTTTCAGGGAGCAAGAGTCGAGCTCTCTGCTAAAAATCTCAAGGTAATGGACCAGATGCCTCCATCATTCCCAAGGTACTGTGTGAAACACTTCCATGCACCTCTTCTAACGCCACCAGCACGTGCTATGCTGTTAAAACCAGGCCGAGTCCTCATTTCAGCTTTTTCTTTTACAGGCTCTTCAAACTGTGTTTGCCACCGTCAGATGGAGATTTCTAAGAAAACTCGTCACTTCAGAGAAAGGGTGAATGTGAAAAAGGAAGATATGATGATGGATGTCAATAGCACAGGTCTCGCCGCTTTCTTTTCCAAGAGACGCTTCCCCCCCATCTCCCACACAACTGCCCTAGTTATACAGGGACCATTCCACCATGGACACCACAAAAGTCCTCAGTGCAACATGCAGTCTAAACTGGACTGTACGACTGACTAATGGTAGCTACTAGGGAGCACTTACAGTGAGACTGATGCAACATGGAGCTCCAGACTAGTCATGTGCTGTTTTACTGGGAACTGTGGGGTTTCTTCGTCGGACTTGTCTGTCCACCCAAGGCTGACAAAAATGTTCACAAAGTGTTTATAGAATAGGTGAAAGGGAGAGGCCAGTTTGAGACCGCATGCAGAAGACACCAACATTGGTTACGCTCCTAACAGAGCTGTTGCTTTTAACCGGATTAACCAAACTAGCTGTAGCTGGCTGTCATCCTAAAGGCAGATGCTATCCGTTTCGCCTTGGACTGCATCGAGAGAGAGAGCTGCCTCTGTCTCTCTGTCTCTGGCTGGTGTTCCCCAGGGCTCAACGTTTGGACCCCTAGTGAAGTAGAGTACTTGTATTCATGTATACAGCCGGCTGAATTGATGCAGAAAGTAGGGATCGAGGGTAAATAAAAAGACAGATGATAAAATGTGTGTGCGGGGGAGGGGGGATGGGGGGCACTCTTTCTTTCGCCCTTTGCATGTGGTTACTGTGCAATTACTGTAGGTTTAGTGTGAGTACTGTATTACTGCACTATATGAAGGATAGTTATTTATTGTGTCCAGAAGGAGCATTTTTATCCCTTACTTCTACTATATCAGGTATTAAAGAATCTAAAAGCATTCCAGGCTACGTATTGAACAGTATTTAAAGGACCAACGGCATGCTGTTTCTTTTTTTCTTTTTTTTAAGACCTAACTGCTTGTGTATTTTATTTATGTGTATCGACTTTTATCATGCCAGGAAGTGTTATTGGGATCTTCAGGGAGAGCAAGGGAGGGCAGATAAACAGAAGCTAGCTAATCAGGACAAAGGAAGCTAAAGCAAACCATTCGAGGCTGCTTGTCAATCAGCAGCTAAGTCGACAGGTTGTTAAATTATTAATATAATAATTATAATTATAGTTATTGAAGGATTGCCTTCTTAACTACGACATTATTTAGATTCCTTTAATTGGTTTTTATGTGTTTTTGAACTGTTCTATTCACTGGGGGTATTAAAACAAGCACAATATTTGGTCCATTCAAGTTGTAGTGTTGGCAAAACGTACTGTAAGTGATGATGCAAACTAAGGGATCGTTTCCAGATTGAAACACAGTAACATTATTTTACTGAAGATTTTAATTTCTTGTACATACCGACTGTAATGTCAGAGGGGAAAAAAAGATAGGATATGTCTCAGTTATGCTATAACTTAAATTGGTTTATTTTTATGGACACAGTATATTATATAAAGCCTTTTGTATTCATGCCTGTGCATTGGCAGAGAAGCGTATTTGCTGAGAATAACCTCACTGACACTGACTTTTGTTTTTTGACTCTTAAAAAGATTTGAGGAGCGTTTCATGAATCTGTCTTCACATGCTGCACTAATTAGCCTTTGTAATTTATTTAAAAGCAACTGGTTCCAAATGAGCATGTTGGAGTAGTGTCCCAACATCTCTCGGCCCTAACATGGCGACAGTAATTCTACTTCCCTCTTTTAGCATAAGAGGCTCTGGAAATGCGCATGATTATCTCCCTTATAAAATGCACTGTTAATCTCAGCAGTGTGCATCGTACAAACTCCAAATTACAGTATTAGTTACCATATTAGTACCATAATCAAATTTTAAGCATGTGTTGCTAGTTAAAATATCTGATGACTGCAGCGTGTTTGTGTAGCCAGACAGATAAATGTCAATGATTACACATTTCTTTACATTATTCTAATGTTTTTTTGTATATACCTTATTTGCAATTTTATTTTGCTTGAAAATAACTGTACAAAGGATCTTTGTTGAATCTTTCTAAGATTATCATTGTAAATGTGATAACAAGCTGTTAAATAAAAATATTCATAGTGTGATGATGATGTTTCACTGAAGCAGCAAAGCAGATGATCTCCAGTAGAAGTTTCTACTGTCTGACTGTTTCCCTTGTTATTCCCTCGTGTTCTAATGTGAGGAGTTTCTATATCTTTGTTTATACCATATATTCCATACATGTATTTACACCCCCCCCCCCCCCCCCCCCCTCTCCACTCCCGCTTCATGTTGACAGATCGGATTGTGGCAATACATTATTCTTTTGGCGTTGCTCAGCCTCAGAATGCAAACAGCTTGTGATGGTTTCAGGTATCCGATACACTGACTGAAGTCAGAGCCGTGCATATTTTATGAACATGCATAATCTTTGCAGCATTTTTCTTTTAAACGATAACTTTATTTTAGGGAATTTAAGTGAATGTTTTTGTAACACAGCCAGATGTTCTAACATTAATAGAAGAAGGCTGGTTGCATGCGTGTGTCGGTTTAATGTTGCATATCCTGGACCATGGACTATGATTGCGGAACTTCTGCATTGCTGATGACCAACGTGATCCGACTGTGGAGAGGAACCGTCTGTGCACGTGTGCTGCGCGCGGTGGAAGGGGAAGACTGTGAAAGCGGACGCTTAGTTATCGCAATTGGTTTTCCAGAGAGACGCGCGCACACACACACACACACATACACACACCGGCACACCGGCCCCGGTGATGCATCCCCGCGGCGGCAACGACACGGACGATCCTCGGTAGAGTCGTCTCGACTTCAGGATGGTGAAGAAGTCTCTGAACGGCGGGGTTTACCCAACTCAAGCCGAGGAGAAGAAGCACCGGGTGGGCTTTGTGGGACTGGACCCCGGCGCACCCGAATCCAACAGGGATGGGGCGCTGCTCATTGCGGGATCGGAAAGCACCAAGCGCAGCGGCATTCTCTGCAGACCGAGGCCCAGCATCTCCGCCGGGAGACCCAGGCCGTCGAAGAAAAACGCCAGCTATCGGAAACTGCAGAATTTCTTGTACAATGCGCTGGAAAGACCGCGGGGATGGGCGTTCATCTACCACGCTTATGTGTGAGTCGCGGCCGGGCTTCTACCAAGCATGTTATTCTGCCGCTGCTGTGATGTTTTGTTGTGGGTTTTTTTTTGGGGGGGGGGGGGGGGTGTTCGGGTAAGTGAAGTTGTGCGGGTCTCGTGCCTCGCTTTGCGCCGATGGAGCTCAGATGGCGCATTAAAGGGTTAAGCTGTGTCATGCTGCTACAGCCCTGCACAACTGCTCTAACTCTCGAGTTGGGTCCTGTTGGCTGATTGAGACGTTCAACTGCATGCATGCCGGGGGGGGGGGGTCACACAAACGCTTTGATCAGAGTCCCGTGCGGTGCGGCAGCACTTGGGAGGAGGTTCAGCACCGCGGCCTGTGGACAGCTCCGCGCCGCCTCACAACTTCCACTAATTACCGGTGCAGCCCGGCTCTGTACGGGGGGAGATGGGGGTGTGGGGGGGGGGGGGGGGTCTGGATTCTAAAGCCAGAAAACGGCCCGTGAGCTGCTTGGAGTGACAACATGATCGTTTTGACTTCAGCGATGCTGTCATGAATAATTTAGGTGGGTGGGGGGGTGGGGCATCTTCTTCGCCCCCCCCCCCCCCCCCACAGTAGACATTAGGTGTAAAAGCTTAGCAGTACTCCCAACTACAGGTAAGTCGATACACATGCTTGTAGTTTTGTGCCCCCCTTATTAAGGTGAAATATGCTGTTTATTAGCCTCCTGACGTCTGCTCCCTTCTACTGGTATTTGCTCCTGCGTGGATCCATCAGTGCGTGCATGTTAACGAGAGGCTGGGAGACCACGCCATTAAATTCACTGTGTGCAGCATATCCACTCCGCAGGGGAAGGGAAACCCCACACACACGGGTAACGTTTGCAATATTCACTGAATAAGAAACAGGCAGCTAAAACTCCTTCTTTACCATCAGTGTTTTGATCTTCAATAACCAATAACCAGTCAGTCTTGGAGGTCTGACTTTATAACCGACGCGTCGTACATCGTTTGAATCCAAACTACACTAAACAACCTGCTTAGAACACCGGGTCGGTAGCATTTTGCTAGTCAGAATCTCAGAATTGGCGTAATGCTTCCGTACAGAGTTCACTCTGTGACATCCAGCTCGCAAGAAGTGCACCTACTCCATTGGTCGGTTCAATACATAATTCATAGCCACCACACTTCATTTAATCTCCTGGCTTTTATTTTTTTTACCCTCAGCCAGCGGGTTTATGATCATGTGCTAACTTCAGTTGTATCCTTCCCCTCCTCATTCATTCTCTGGTTTATCTCTGCGGCAAAAAACACCCCACACTCGTCCACAGATTCCACTGGTTGGAACATTTAGAATTCTTACAAAGTAAAGCGAAAAGCTCTAACAAAACCTTTATAGCAAAGGGTCCATCTAACAGCCCGCTGTCGGAATAATTGCATCACGTCCCCAGACTCTGTTCGACCTAATTCTGTGAGGAGGGATAATTTGACAGCTCGCAAAAAAAGCCTTTTAATTTGTTGGGTTCTTCTCAGCCTCCAATTAAGCAAGGAAACTGATGCAGCAATTGGGGCTCTGTTTATCTTCAATAGGAGCCTCATTAACGTTTTTCCTCTTACAGGAAGCACAGGCGGAAATTGACCGGCCTCTGCAGCTGCGAGATGACAGATGTCAGTTTCAGCAGCAAAGTGGAACAATGGACCGTAAAAGACCGCAGAGAGAAAAACAAATCAATCAGTGAAAACAATTTCAATGTTCTGTCAACCTTTCTTAAAATGATTCAGAGAGACAGAATGAGGCCACGTTCCAGTTGTAGACTACTCTGCTGAGCTGGCCAGCTGAAGACAAACTGGCAAAGGAAAAGAAGGGCGAGGACAGTTAGCAGAGGGATGCTGGCGAGCCGCCGACATGCGATCGAGTGGGCTCTTTTTCAGAGAAGAGGTGTCCGCTGGAAGCTGGAAGTAGAAGACAGCGCTTGAATGCAGAGTCCTGTAGTTGGGTTGTGGGAAGCAATCGATTGTTCTCCCATTGAGGGTTGAGCCTCCGAAATCGGTTAGGATTCATTAAACAGTTTAATGAATCCTAACCAAATCCAATTGAAGTGGCAATGTTGTTGCTCGTTGCTATGGGCACAGTAGACATCAGTGGGGTCGTGAAATATTGTCGCCGCTCGCCATTATTGAGTGTAGCGCTAAAGCAGGGTGGAATTAGCCAGCTGTCGATTAGCTTTCTTACGCTGCTTGAAGGGTGTATGAAGCATTGAGGTTGGTAAATGCTGCTATTCCGCATGCAGCTAGTTTTCAACAGAAAGGCTCTTTACCTTCCCAGACAATCATGTAGCAGCTACAGCGCCGCGTGCTTCCCCCTGTGGTTGGAGGGGACCAAACCCAGAGCGAAACGAGTATGACTTGACCTTCAATCCTCAGAAGGACACAGTGTTACTGTTGCTCCATATCTGGTAAATGTGCACTTTTAAAAGTCTATTTACGCTGCACCAAGTGCTTTCAGCAGGTTTACAAATTATCAATAGAGTGAGTCTTTAGTGGGGGGGGAAAGGATCCCTCCTCTTGCCCCCCCCCTCCTCTCGTTCCGCAGTCTAAATTTAGCGTGATGTGTGTCTGGGTAGCCCACGTTGTGCTGAGGGGGGCAAATCGATGATTCTTCATCTGCAGCTCAGGAGGAAATGCAGGTTTTTCTGCTTCCAACAACAGCCCCCTCCTCTTGATTGATCACGTTCTCAGTGAAGGCGTCTGGACTCTGGCAACAAGTGGACGTGTGTGTGTGTGTGTGTGTGTGTGTGTGTGTGTGTGTGTGTGTTTGTGTTGGTTGGTTTGCATTGCTGGCCGTCGCCGTTTGTCAACCACAGTCAATGTGATTTTCTCTCTTCGGTAGCTTTTTATTAAGGACTGACGTGACCCTCTAGATGATATTGCGAAAAAATAGAGCTGAATAGCCGTGTTGTGAGACACGTGATCGATCTTGGTCTCGAGGACACTTTTTGAAGGTCAGGTTTCATCTCACGATCAATCGCACTCCTACTGGATTTTATTTTGAGACTGCGAGGATATCGGTGCCTGCGGACCATGTTGTCTAATGTATTTGTAAACATCATGTTAGACGCTCCATTTATTCACACATGACCTCCCTTTCAAGTGTCCTCATCAGGAGGTACTGACGAGCTCGGCGAGGTCTGGTCGGGAACCATCCAGCTTCTTTGCCCAACACATGTGATGACATGTTTTTAATGGGATGAAATACATCTGCTTTACTTTTGGAATACTTCAATTCAATTAGATGGATTCAAAAACATGGAGGATAGCTGATGTTGTGCAGCAGACTGTGACATCGATCACGGCAGACTGGCGGATTTGTGTTCTTGGTCTCCAGATGGTGAAATAACAACTTCGATGTGACGAGTCAAAGGGGCGTTAATGAGGAGATGTGAAGACACTCACGTCATTTGCACCTTCAGTCTCAGCAGAAGCAGTGGAACGGAGTCTATAAACAGGCGGATGGTATTTAGAACCATCCCATTTTCAACAGTTTGAAGTTGAATTTAAAACGGATCAGACAAGCTACAGACTTAAGGCGGAACGTCACAAAAGCTTTGAGAAGCTCCCTTTTACCAAGTCAGCTCTGACTAAAAAACACACACACAGTGTAGAATGAAGACTGAACCTATAAAATATAGAGAACGGCTGAATAAGCTCACTTGGCAGTTCGTTGTCTCACTGATGAAGAATGATGGCAATATTAAGAATGAGCTTCTCCGTGGACTTGTAAACTGTAGTTAACGTAAAGACAAGAAAAAAAATGTGTCTTCATTGTCGGAGCAAAACGTGTCTGCTGAACATATGCAGCACATTAGGAGATGGCATAGAGAGAATACTCCTCCTTGGATAATTCAGAGGCGTTTGTCAGGGCGGTGTTCGCTGGTTCCAATGACGGCCCCGCCTCCTATACACTTTTAGAGCTGCACAAATCAATAGGTCTTATATTAATAATAGATGAAATGAAGAAGCGTAAGGGAAAGGTGTCCGTAGGACTGAAGAGTCGTCATCATTGTTTTTCTGATGTTCTGTGGGGGGGCAGGGAGCTGTATACTAACTGGTCAGCCGACAGTAAAAGCCAGGGACTAAGTGAGGTTAGCGGAGCATTTAGCAGCTACATTGACTATGTTCTTTTCAGGAGTTTGTGGAGACTATAAGCAAACTCGAGATGAAGGTCAATCGTTTGTGCCTCAATCTCAGTAGTTTGCCGCACTTGACAAACATCTATTACACCATACAACATTTGAAATACTGCACAAAACCCCTTAAAAAGGCTTGACCGGAACAAAATGATGGGTTTAGCAACCCTCTGGTTGGTTGGCTGCGTCCAGGTGTGTATATAACCAATCTCAGGTGAGCGTAATGCTGGAAGAGCAGCTGAGGCATAAAGGGAGTCGTCCTTCCTGAACTACTGCTTAAGCTCCATTAAGTTGCCTCTCTACAAAGCAACTACCCCACAAATTATCATTGTGAACACAAGCAACCATTTTATTTTGTTTATTCGTTTGGATTCATTGATTATAACACTGTACAGAGAATTTCAGGAAATTTAGCAACAAAATGTAGAAGAAGATTACAATCTTTGGCTTTAAATGAGGCTGATTATCTCCACTGATGGCGGATGGGCGGCTCTCGCATCATCACTGTAGTCTATTAGCTCCTCATCTTGTGCTCAGGAAAACAACTTGATGAGGATATCTGTACTATGGTTAATGTTAAATACATCTTTTAACATCCTGCATTGTCCCAGTATTGGGTTTCACCACACCGGCACTTTCCATTAGCTCTTCTCCTGTAATCCTTTCCAGAAGAAAGTCCCTGAGGCCTCTCCCTCCACGCATCATATGGAATGTTTCATCCAATAGAGCGAAGCGCCCGATGCTCTCAGCCCATCTTCTGGAGACCTCGCTGTAGATTTGATTTTGTTTCCATATCGCATTAGTCTTTAAACCATCAGTTATCACTTTTCTATCTATAGAAAGAATCACAAATTTTGGATCCTTTACCATATTTCTACCTGTTTTTTGTGAGGTGTTTGGTCTATTGTCCAAGTCTAAATCTCTGACATTGACTTGCTGAACATCATTTACAACTTGGTCGGACTGTGAGGAGGTCGATACGTTCGCATCGCTCCAGTAAGGAGCTTCTGACTGACGCGGCTATGCACTCATCCTGTTAATGATACGAAGTGGTGCTCAGCTGATGTTCCTCTAAGTTCTTCACTCAGGTGATTGGATTTCCTGCACTCAATGAAAACCACATTCGATTCGTTCAATGCGTTCAAAATGAACGTGTACTTATTTCATTATATTACTAATGCTAACTGCAGCTGCAGCTGTTTCTGCACGTGATTATGTGGCTTAACGGACTTATCTTGAGAATCTTACAGCTGTTGTATCCATAAGCTTCTCCAGTGTTCTTCACTGTTGAACGACCTGAATCTAAAACAGGATCAAACAAATGGAGCGGGGACTAATTAATAAAACCGTTTCTATTCTCCTGTCTCTTCCAGCTTCCTCCTGGTCTTCTCCTGTCTCATACTTTCAGTCTTTGCCACCATCCGAGAGTTCAAAAATAGCTCAGAGAGTGCCTTGTACATCCTGGTAGGTAAAACTCATTTACTGCAAACGCCACACCGCACTTATACTTTCACATCTCACCGTTAACTCCACTATTGTGGCTTCGTCCCACAGGAAATTGTGACTATCGTGGTGTTTGGGGTTGAGTACATTGTGAGGATATGGGCCGCCGGCTGCTGCTGTCGGTACAGAGGATGGAGAGGGAGGCTCAAATTTGCCAGAAAGCCTTTCTGTGTCATAGGTGAGCGGAACAGGCCGCGCTTGAGTCATTTCTCTCGCCTTGCTCCCTCTGAAGAACATAACAGTGTGTTTTTTCCCTCCGTTCCTTAAGCTGGAGCGATAAAGAATGGGACCACTGTTTTTCAGCGATGCATTGGAGTTATGCTAAAGACGAGATGAAAAATGATGCTCGGTTGAAATGTCCCACTTTAAAGTACTTTTGCAATCAGTAAAGTGAATTCCGTCTGATTCCGTCAATCGTGTGCATTCGCCTGCTCCCCAGAGAATGTGGAGCTCTGTGACTGTGTGTGCTTCCCCTCTCCAGACATCATGGTGCTGATCGCCTCAGTGTCTGTGCTGGCAGCTGGATCTCAGGGAAACGTTTTTGCCACGTCGGCCATCAGGAGTCTGAGATTCCTGCAGATCCTGCGCATGCTGCGCATGGATCGCCGCGGAGGCACCTGGAAGCTGCTGGGATCTGTGGTATACGCCCACAGCAAGGTGACGTCACTCACCTTTTGTTCCTCGCAGGACGTTCAGGTGGAGCTGACAGTCTGCTCTCGGTTTTGGGGATCAAAGAGCTGCTATTGGTAGCCAGCCATGGTGTTTAAAGTCATGCAGTAGCTGATTAATCAAACTAAATACACAAACATTTTAGCAGGCAAAAAATAGCATTAAAAAATTACATCTAAATTGTAATATAGTGGTTTACATAACAATTATTGTGCTTTACATAACAAGAGTAGCAGTACAAAAATACCTGATTAGTTGAATAATGTTGTCTTTACTGCAGAAAGTACTATCGTTTACATTCTTCTCTTTCATTATTGTTCACTTCCAGCATCTTTTTAGGATAATAAATGACCTTTAAAGGGCCCACAGTAGTAATAGAAGAAAAATGCCGTGCAGACTTTTTCCAGCAACTCTTCTAAGTTACTCTGTCATGCTGACATGTTTGAGCTAATGGGCTTTGAAACAGACTTAAGTTGCACTAAGTAGCTGTGTGTGTGTGTGTGTGTGTGTGTGTGTGTGTGTGTGTGTGTGTGAGAGAGATGTGGCGAGAGGGGGAGAGGTCAGCTTTGCAGCATGCGTTGAGGGAAATAAAGAGGTGCATGAAGTAGAACTTTGCCAAGGAAGGCATGTGACTCACACAATCATGTCCAATATTATGTCCTCAAGGCCTTTTCTTTTCAAAACCAATTTACAGGGTTATGTCACCGTTTTGCAAAGCATCGTAGATGAAACTTTATTACTTTGCATTCCCTGATGCTCGCTGTATTGATTTCCCCTGTAGGAGCTCATCACCGCGTGGTACATCGGCTTTCTGTGCCTCATCCTGGCTTCATTCCTGGTGTACTCGGTGGAAAAGGAGTCAAATGACGAGTTTGAGACCTACGCTGATGCTCTTTGGTGGGGACTGGTAAGACTTGCCCGGAATCTATTTAAAAACATCTGCAAACCTCGACCACAGGATAAAGTGTTAACTTTATTTCCATTAGATCACTCTCACCACCATCGGTTATGGAGATAAGGTTCCCAAGACCTGGAATGGACGCTTGCTGGCAGCCACATTCAGCATGATCGGAGTGGCGTTCTTTGCTCTCCCCGCTGTAAGTGGGAGGGATTTTCAGCGGTACCTTGAGCGCGGTCTTGTAAGATTAAAATGCTGATCATGCCTTTTTTTGTTCATTCATCTTTTCCAATTACGGTCGAAAGCGCTTACTGATGTGGTCTTACTGCACTGCATCAAAAACGTTAAATCCATTACCTTTCTGCATGGAAAACCCTGCAGAATGAATATGTGTTGTGTAGTTATGTATATGTGTGTGTGTGTGTGTGTATGTACATAATAGATGTTGTTTGGGACATTGGTTCAGCCTGTGAAGGGTCTACTACATCTTTTCTGACCAGTGGCCTTTAAATATGCATCAACAATCAAGGCTCATAGAAGTGTCTCAGTGACACTGTAGCAAGGACCACCTAATATGATAACGTGCATCAAAGCCACCTTATAACTTCAATGTCATTTTATGATTCAATAGTCAATCAGAAAAAAAGAAAAGCAAGCACTATGTGAACCGCAGTGTTGCATTCCATTTCTACTGTGGTGCTGTAGAAATGAGCTAAAAGCTTTCTGTAGGCTGTAGGCTTTGAGTGATCACCGTAGAACTGTTCAATACTTCACGCATAAAAAACCAATTGGATTGCTGTAGCAGCGCTCTGTTAATTACTTTTTGACACTTTTGCCAACATTTGCTCTCCCATTTCTATCTCCCCAAGGCTGTGCAGACTGAATAACTCTGATATTGCGTAGATATTTTTGTTGGATTTGCTCACCGCTCTCTGCTCTGGAAGGACGCTTGCTATGAGATGACAAAGCAATTGCAACTCCAACTCCCGGGCCGGCAGTCGTCAATAAAGCTAACTGACCCCTTGATGTGTCGCACCGAATGTGCACAGGGCATCCTGGGTTCTGGCTTTGCCCTCAAAGTCCAAGAGCAGCACAGGCAGAAACATTTTGAGAAGAGGCGTAATCCTGCAGCGGGCCTCATCCAGGTAAACTGATTCTCCTGTTCTTCATGACAACACCCAAACATCAGTTTTGTGCTGACAAAAAGGGAAAAAAGCATGTTTTTACTTCTACATCCAGGCCACGTGGAGGTTCTATGCTACCAACCTGTCCCGCACAGATCTACTGTACACTTGGGATTTCTACGAGCAGACTGTAGCTGTCCCGATGTACAGGTATGTGGTCAAACTCATTTACCTGTTTGAATACGTGTTGTCTCATATCATATTCTGCCATCTCTCGAAAACTGGGACGCTGAGTGATAAAAGCTACCCGGTGTCCTCCTCTTATTGCATTACAAACTCCCATGTGGAGTCAGACGCTGCGGCTTTTCACTCCCTGCTTTCATCGGGGTCATTTTGCGGGGCGGGAGGCTGATGTATTGCAGGGACAATGCTCTTCAGAAGACAAGTTGGCACCGGCTACTTTGTAAAAAATCAACAAATCATCAGTCCGACTTTTTAAATCAGCAAATAAACTGCAGTGCTAGCAGAGGAAAATGGCTGCATTTCATTGCAGTAAGAATTTGGGTTTAGAAGGTAATGACCAGCAGAATAGATGACTGCCAAATGAACTGTGATTCGCTTTCGACGGCCCGGTTTTAACCCTCCAACTCTGACTCAGTGAAAGTGACTTGACATAAATGCTCTTTTGCTTTTATCCCAGGCTTATTCCACCTCTGAATCAGCTGGACCTGCTGAGGAATCTAAAGGGCAAGACATTCAGGTACAAAGATGAGTCTAACCTGGCGATGAGGATGGTGATCTTATGATGATGCATTTGGGATGCCGGTAGTGGGATTACTCAGCATTGTTGGTGACGCAAGATGCATTAATTAAGAATAGACATTAATAGAATAGTCATCAACGAGAGTCTCGCATGTAGAAAGTTTCTCCAGATTAAAAAATATTTCAAGGCTCATGAACTACTTATTTTTCCTGCTCCCAAGTAAATAAAAATCAACATGAATCCTATTTGTATACAGGCCTTTATATCTTTTTTTTTTTACTTACAATAAGTTATAGTGATAACGGTGAACATAGTGGATCATTTACTAAATTGAAGACCCAATTCAATTTTGTGAAGAACAAAATATCTAAAAGCTAATCAACACCTTGTTTCTGATGCCCTGAATGGCCCCAAAAGGTATTCAAATAAGTAATCATTTACATATCCATTTTTGGATGATATCAATGTTTTGGCTCCTCCTACTCTATGTATCATTTGAATTTGCAGCACGTTTGCTTTCAACAACTGGCGGGATGACGTAGCATTGAGCATCTTGACAGACCCTAACCCCGTGTGGATTACAACACACGGTGCAACACATGAGCGACTTGCACCGTGTCACAGCTGGTGTCCTCTCTCCTCACAGGAAGGAGTCTCAAACGGAAACCTCTCCCAGGTCTGTGATCGGACCGCCTCGTGTCTCTCTCCACCTGCCCCGTTGGCTTCTCTTCAAATCGGCTCTTAGCTGTTGCTGAGGCACTCTTCTTGGGGGAGTGTGTGCACACTGTATCTGTGTGTGTGTGTGTGTGTGTGTGGGTGTGTGTGTGTGTGTGTGTGTGTTAAGCACCTCCTTCAAGAACGGTCATGCTGCGTTGGCTCACATGGTGCTCAAAGATCAGCTGGCCTCACTCCCGCTCACTCAAGTCGGCTTTTTCACCCGAGCTGTTCTTTGACGTCCAATGCTTGATTTTGAGCACATTGTTTTCGAGACAAAGAAACAAGTGTAATTATTGACAATGTGGTCACACTTTATCATGACTTTGGATTCATTTGCATATTTGTTTTTAACTACAATTAAAAAGAAAACATATACAAGTGTGCAGTAAAAATCAATGCACATCATTTATGATATGTGACTGGTTGCAAATGAATTAAAGCGTTCGATGCATCACAGTATGGCACACACTGCTGTTCGTGTGACTGTATCCACTGCTACTTTCTTTTTGTGTCTCCTCTACTGCCCGCCACTCCAGTAATGAAAATGCACACAAAGACAGACTTTGCGGGTGCTGTCCGAGAACCTTTAGGTATAGTTTGCACTGCAAGTCTGTGTGTGTGTCCTTCCTCTCCCACCTCTGTTCCTCTCGCTCTTTAATTAATCACAAGGAAAGATTGAGGATTTGCAGTATGAGGAGGGTTCCTAACATAATGTCGCTTAGAACAGAAAATACATTGTGAAATGACTTCATAAAGTGCGTTTCTGTCAGTAATACGTACTTGAGAGAGCCAGTGGACGCACCGCTTTAATGGTTATCTCTGAAAGAACATAGATGTCCGTCCATGCTTACGGCTCCGTCGATTGATTCCGTTGATTTATGGTTTCTGTTTAGTAACGACTTTATGCTGTTGATTTGCTTGCTGCCGTTTTGTTTGTGCCTAATCAGCTCTTCTGTTCAGGAGGCAATGTGCATATTGCCCAGTGCGTTTCCTTTGACCGGTTCCCGTGCATCAGGCCGAGCGCGCAGTACGATGGTGAATTGTTTTGCACGATTTGTGTTCACTTTTTGCATACATTCTCTCCCTTTTTTGAGGCGTGCGCTGTCACTCTGCTTCCCGTGCATGCTTGCTCGTAGCTCCCTGCTGCTTGCGTGACCCGCCGAATGCTCCACTATGTTGGTATGTGGCCATGGCTCCTTCTGCTGTAGGGCATTGCCCTTTTTGCGTTTCTGCCGAGGTAAGATTTACCGTCACATCAGTGATGAATTTGTCAAATTCCCAAGATTATAGCAGTAGGATGAAGGCATTTAGTTAAAGATAGTAAAGATAGATGCTGTTAAAATAAATCCAACTAACGTGATTACATTTGCCTCTTCAAGTCGGAAGGCCAGCCTGAAGGACAAGGTGTTCCCGAGTCCCTCCAAGGCTCCCCTGGCCAAGGGGAAATCCCAGTCTCCGGACGGGGCCGAGGCGAGTCCCGGCAAAGTCGACAAGAGCTGGAGCTTCGCCGACAAGAACCGAGGGCCGAAGCACTCCTTCAGGGCCAGAGGCAGCACCTCGCGGCAAAACTCTGAGGGTGAGGGAGCTTCACGCAGAGCAGCATACTCAATGTTAAAGGGACTGCTGCAACTACCGCTCTTCTTAGGAGTAGCACCGTTTGCAGTAGAATACGTGATCTACTGGTGGAAAACAGGTGGAAAGTCTCTAAAACCGACATTCAAACCTTCACACAACACTTTAAACAGTTTGCAGCTGTTTAAAGGAATAGCTTTGCATTTTCTGGGGAAAATGATTATGCTTTCCTTGTGAAAGGGATGTATAGATCTCTATCTAGGAGGAGTTGATGGCACTTAATTGATTTACAATTAAGAATATCTTCTCTCATTCAGCAGAGTGTTGTTACATTCTGTGGTCTCTCCCGCATGCATTCAATCATACGAGGAAGACCGGCTAAAGCCAACGTTTCAGCATTGTCCCACAGAGGCGGAGGTTGCTTACACCCAAACGTTGGTATCCAGACATCATTAGCACTCGACTTGCACATCCACGTCGTCATCCAGGCCTCCGTGTCGCTGCCAACAGACAGACTTCTCTATGATGCCGTTTCTTTGCCTTTTTGTCAAAATATTTGAACCAATTACTATTGTTTTCTTTTTTCCTTCTTCCGCTTCATGGCATGTTAAAGTGCTGATAGAAATGCAGGACGAGGACTTTGGACTGAAGAGTTCTCCAGGTCAGACAAGTCACCGTGACATGTCTTCACTTCAGACTATGAGGCGCTCAGTGATGCCTATCTGTACATTCTACCACATACGCCACATACACTTAATAAAGAAATGCAGTTTGCAACGTGTAAATATAAGAGAAGAGAGACCAGGTTTTTCAAACATGAACCAGAAATCATTCAGTGTCCTTCATTTGTTTCATGTTTGGAATCGATCTGTCTGCCATTGTCATCTTGCAAAACCCCATAACAGCTCTTTCCCCATGTCTCTCCTCTCTCTCTCCCTCTTTGCAGCAATTGAAGGTTTAATAAGTAAGACATTGGGATACTGTGTTGCTTGGGTTTTAGGGGGGGTGGGGAGGTGGGGGTACAAAAGAAAAGTCTGCTACATCAGTCTGAGAAACCTGCATGTTGAAATCTGCTGGGATTTTTTTCACTTGACATGAACCCTTTTTTATGACTGTTCCTACTCAACGATGACTGAATACTGCAGCATGACATTAGAACAAGCATGTATTACTGTAATGGAAGGATTCTCAGTCAAGCAGATTACAGCATTTATCTACATTAGAACCAGGCCGTGTTGATGGTGGGTTCAAGTCAAGTGGCGGCAACCAGATAATCACAAAAGTCAACCGTGACAAAATGCCCAAAAGCGCCGCTTTATGTTGCATGAAGAGACTTCTCACTTTCCCGGAACCTCTTCCAATTTCTGTTAGACAGCGATTAGGCCTTGACTCCCTTGCCTGTATGCAATATGTTTCTACGTCTATGGATTACAACAGTAATCCAGACTACTTGGTGGTGGGAAGAGAGTACTTGTCCTTAAAGGATTCAGTAAAGCTTTATCCCATCAGCACTATCCTTCAACTCTGCATCAAGTTATTTTTTGTTCTCCGTTGTCGCACAAAGCCTGCTCACCATCACACAAACTATCTGGCTAACTGGCTCGAAACCAACTAGGTAAATTGAATCTTGCACCTCTTTAAAGCTTAAAGCCCCGGCTTTGCTTCTGCTGTGGACGCCGGGCGTGGGGAAGGAGATGAATTATACTTGAAGAGGTCTCCTGTCTTTGCTCTGTAGAGGCGAGCCTCCCTGGAGAGGAAATTGGCGATGACAAGAGCTGCCACTGTGAGTTTCTCTCTCAAGAATTACCACCAGGCCTGAGGGTGACCATAAGAGCGATCTGGTAAGGATTCGATTCATTACCAAATTTGAATGTTTCTGCAGTGTCTACTTTGGCGATTACGTTTTTTGTTCATGACTAATCATTGATGGTGCAGACTTTATTAGCTGCGACGGTGTTGTTGTGAAGGATGACTTTGCTTTCTTTGTTTCAGCTGTCAATCGGCCACATCAATACCTTTGTACTTGGTTAGCTCAGGTTAAACGGAACGCGTCTTTAGTTTACATTTTGTTACCATCCTCAGTAATCAACTTCAATCATTACCATTCACTCAACCTAAAATAGACTGTAAGCGTGACATCGCTAAAAAGTCTGAGAGGGTAATAAGAGACAATCCGAAAGCTTCAATAACTAAAATCCAGGTCAGGTAAACTAAAGGACGAGAAATTAAAATAATGGGTAAAAGACCGCCAAAATGGTTTGTTATGACCAACACAGGACATTGAACTTTGACCTTGTAGCTCAGATCTCAGAAATAACTTTGATGTTATTTTAACCAACAATAGGGCCAAAATGATGACATCAAGAGACTGTTCATGGTACAACAGTACTAAAACAATGAGCCATATGTATTGGTTTAAACAAGTGTAGGGTTGTGGCTTACCGGTGGTGAGGGGGGCCCAGTACAGGTGAGGATCTCAAACAAAAAGAGGAGGCAACCGTTCGCACGTGTATTACCCACACACCAACACACGCACTCACACGTGAGGGTTCACAAGCTCAGGGTGCCCCAAAAGACACAGCACACCAAAAGGGGGTATCCACACCAGAGGATCCCTGCACCACCACCTGGACCTTGACATCCATCCATCTTCAACCGCTTATCCAGGATCGGGTCGCGGGGGCAACAGCTCCAGCAGGGGACCCCAAACTTCCCTTTCCTGGGCCACATCTACCAGCTCTGACTGGGGGATCCCAAGGCGTTCCCAGGCCAGTGCAGAGATATAATCTCTCCACCTCAGCTGGCCGTGCCTGGAACACCTCCCTAGGGAGGCACCCAGAGGGCATCCTCACCAAATGCCCAAACCACTCAACTGGCTCCTTTCGACGCAAAAGAAGCAGCAGCTCTACTCCGAGCTCCTCACAAATGTCTGAGCTTCTCACCCTCTCTCTAAGAGAGACGCCAGCCACTCTCCTGAGAGAAACCCCTTTCGGCCGCATGTACCCGTGACCTAGTTCTTTTGGTCATCACCCATCCTTCATGACCATAGGTGAGGATAGGAACGAAGATTGACCGGCTTAGTTCTCTTTTCGTCACAACGGTGCGGTAAAGCGAGTGCAATACCGCCCACGCTGCTCCGATTCTCCGGCCAAACTCACACTCCATCTTCCACTAACTTGTGTACAAGGCCCCCGAGGTACTTGAACTCCTTCACTTGGGGTAAGGACCTACCTGGAGTAGGCAATCCATCGGTTTCCTGCTGAAAACCATGGCCTCAGATTTAGAGGTGCTAATCCTCATCCCGACCGCTTCACACTCGACTGCAAAACGCTTCAGTGAGAGTTGGAGGTCACAGACAGAAGATGCCATCAGGACCACATCATCTTCAAAAAGCAGCAATGAGATCCGCAACCCCCCCAAACTGTAGACTCTCCTCCCCCCGACTACGCCTCGATATCCTGTCCATGAAGACCAAAAACAAAATTGGTGACAAGGAGCAGCCCTGCCGAAGGCCAACCCCCACTGGAAACGCCTTCGACTTACTGCCGAGCACCCGAACACAGCTCTCGCTTTGGGCGTACAGGGATTGGATGGCCCCAAGTAAGGACCCCCTCACCCCGTACTCCTGCAGCACTTCCCACAGTTTCTCTCGGGGGACGCCTTCTCAAAGTCCACAAAACACATGTAGACTGGATGAGCATACTCCCAAGCCCCCTCCATGATCCTGGAAAGAGCTGGTCCGTCGTTCCACAACCAGGACGAAAACAGCATTGTTCCTCTTCAATCCTTGGTTCGACTATCGGCCGAAGCCTCCTTTCCAGCACCTTGGCGTAGACTTTACCAGGGAGGCTGAGTAGTGTGATACTCTTTTGGCACTGTCCCAGACTTCCACGCAATGTTGAAGAGGTGTGTCATCCAAGACAGCCCCCCAACACCCATTGCTTTTAGCATCTCTGGACGGATCTCATCAATCCCTGAGACCTTGAGGCCACAACTCACTACCGCGGCTTCAGCAATGGAAGTTTTGAACATACACCACTCTGGTTCAATGTCCCCTACCTCCACAGGAATGTGAGAAGCTCCGCCGGAGGTGTGAGTTGAATATCTTTTGGACCGGGGCCTCCTCCAGACGTTCCCAGTTCACCCTCACTACACGCTTTACTGGGTCTGTCCCCAGTCTTCACCCATCCTCTGACCCAGCTCACCACCAGATGGTGATCAGTTGACAGCTCTGCCCCTCTCTTTACCCAAGTGTCCAGAACATGCGGCCTGAAATCAGACGATACGATTACAAAATCGATCATTGATCTTTGGCCTAGGGTGCTCTGGTACCACATACGCTTATGAACATCCTTATGTTCGAGCATGATGTTTGTTATAGACAATCCGTGACTGGCACAGGAGTCCAATAACAAACAACCGCTCGGGTTCAGATCAGGGAGGCCATTCCTCCCAATCACGCCTCTCCAGTTTTCCCTATTGCCGCCCACGTGCGCATTGAAGTCTCCCAGTAGGACAATGGAGTCCCCTACTGAAGCCCCATGCAGGACTCCATTCAGGGTCTCCAAAGGCTGAATACTCTGAGCTGCTGTTTGGTGCATATGCACAGACAACAGTCAGAGTTTTCCCCCCCACCACCCGAAGGCATAGGGAGGCGACCCTTTTGTCCACCGGGGTAAACTACAATGTAGCAGCACTCAGCCGGGGACTTATGAGTATCCCCACACCCGCCTGGCGCCTCACACCATGGGCCACTCCGAAGTAGAATCCAGAGTCCATCCCCTATCCAGGAGTGTGGTTCCAGAGCCGAGGCTGTGCTTAGCGGTAAGCCCCACCAGATCCAACGCTCCACCTCCCGCACAAACTCCGGGTCCTTCCCCCCCAGAGAGGTTACATTCCATGTCCCCAGAGCCAGCATCCGCCCAGGTCTGTTCCGTCTAGACCCCCCACTGTCACTGCCACCCTTGTAGCAGAGCCCCCGACCCCATCGTTTTCCCCCACAGGTGTAGTACAGCGCCTACAAATACAAAGAACACTGTTACCCAAAGACACACTCTGGCTCTCAGAAGGGAAATAAACAAAATCATAAATAAACCAAATCAAAATAACTGAGGAATACTGGGACGGCTCAGATGACCACCTTACACCAGTCCGAAAGCCAAGGTAAGTCTGGGCATCCCCATCAGATGGCACGTTAAAATGTCTCTCAAAAAATGTCCGTCTCTTTAAAAAGGCTAACACCGGAACATCGGTTCACGGCAACAAAGCTGCTACCGGCGGCTAAGTAGCAAATCGCGGTTGTTAATGTAACCTCATGTTACAATAAACCTGAGTTACACGCAACTTACCGACAAAGCCCCAGGTACGACGCCATTGCAGTACGAGGGGACCCGTCCAATGGTCTGCACCTGACGTGGACATCCGACCTTTGATTAACGTCAGATTGAAGCCCTGGGAATCCCCACCATATTTATGGGAGACCCTCACTCCCGTGATTGGCTGGCAGGTGATTGATAGTTACGAGCAGGAGGCTTCAGTAATAAGCTCCCTTCTGCTACACATGCTGGTCGTGGGTCATTGTGATTAACTTCGTCACTAATGTGTTTATTGCACCTGTCCTTCAATGACAACTTTAAATGTCCGCTGTGCCAAAAGGCCGGCTCACGCCATAAAGGATGTGTCTTCTCTCAGCGTCATGAAGTTCCTGGTGTCGAAGCGGAGGTTCAAGGAGAGCTTGCGGCCCTACGATGTGATGGATGTTATCGAGCAGTACTCTGCAGGTCACCTGGACATGCTGTCCCGCATCAAGAACCTGCAGTCCAGGCAAGTGAAAATTTTGTGTACAGCACATTGCAGTTTAAATCTCATCACTCATTTCCAGGTCGTCTCAGAGTGAGAAACTTTCACTTTGAGCCTAAATGCCTGGTTGGATACCGAGAGCGCCTTTTCAGGTCATTTATTTGATTCAATAATCTGTCTGAGCTCAGTATAAGAGCACATGTGGGATTCAGTAAATCAATGTTGGTGGATACAAACATGTCGTGACACACAAGTCATTGATTCGCTTGTTCCATTTTGTCCACCGACATGTGTTGTATTCAGATCCCAGTGTTGTGTATGTAACATTTCTTCGTCTGTAACATGCTATCGAAACACAATTCACTCCTTCTGTTTTGTCACAAAATCATTTTAGATCCAGTCTGATCATGTTGTTTACCTCCCGCGAGTCGGCTCCTCACATTTTGATCCCTCTAAAGGTCTAACCTGTAGAATGAATGTATTCCAACTGTGAAATACATGCGCTCCTCATCCAACGAAGCAAGTCAGACTCACCGTATGTCTTGTGTGTGTGGAATATATCGCCACGTGTTCTCCATACCTGATGTGATTCCCAACGTTGCTTCACTTTGCATTGCGCTCATATCGTCTCTGTGTGCCTTGCCAGGATAGATATGATTGTGGGGCCCCGGCCCCATCAACACCTCGCCATAAGAAGTCCACTGAAGGCCCTAGGTTAGGTTAATAGAGTGCACTGCTAGAATGACTATTTTACCAGCATTATGCTCTTTACACCACAGCCCAAATATCGCAGCAATTATGTGCTACCTTATTGTTTGTATCGACAGAACCCCTTTTGAGTTCAAGCCACTAAACCTGCCTCACTTAATGACACACGCTGGTATGAAGTGAAAAATGTTTCTCAAACACAGTAGAATGGAAACAAGAGTTGGATAAACAGTTTCACGTGCAACATGTACATGTATGTTGTGCAGCCACTCTAGCGCTTATGTCACATTAAATCAAGTGCATCAAATCATCATAAAAAGTCAGAGAAAAGACACCTTGCAACTTTTCTCACGGAAGGTCAATGGGCCGAGTCGCGTGGCCCCACTCAACAGGGGTTTGACAGTGCTAGATGCTTGCTCTCACACTGGAGACACAGGAGGAGAGCTCCCCCACCAGGAGGCAATGGAAATGAAGCATGAAGCGCAACAATAGCATGCCAAGTGATGCATTTGGCCCCAAGACAAAATGTCACCCTTCTCGTTGCTCTTTGTCTCATTAAAGACCGCCTGACCTCATCGTGCATGCTTTCATACTGCCAACTTGAAATCCACACTTTGTCAAGAATCATGGGCCGCCATTCATTCATTCAAAACACACTCGTGGCTCAATGACTATCGTCCCCATCAACGCTTCCTTTGCCTAATTCTCATGTAACGGTAGTAACTTCATTTTGGCATCACAAAATTGTTAAGATGAAACCCATGTGGCAGAACAGAGTGTTTGCTTCATAATGTCTGATATTGCTCTTCTCTAAATGCTAGAGTGGACCAGATAGTTGGTAAAGGGCCTAAATCCGAGGGAGACTCTTCAGATGACCAGAGCATGATGGGACGTCTGGGTAAAGTGGAAAAGCAGGTACGGGCGTTTCCTCAACGTGTGTAACATTGTGCGGGTTTGCTTTACTTGTGGGGACACCTTTGTGACTTTCTCTCTCCCTGAAGGTGATCTGCATGGACAGGAAACTGGATTTCCTGGTTCACGTGTATGTGCAGCGCATGGGCATCCCTCGTTCGGAAACCGAGGCCTTTTTCCACTCCAAGGAGCCGTACCCGGCCCCGCCTTACCACAGCCCGGAGGAGAGCAAGCTGGAGAGGGAGGGCGAGGAGGAGGTGAAGGAGGAGAAGGAGTTGCAGACGTGCTCTGTACCGGCAATTCCGTGCTCCGATGGGTCTTTGGAAAAGAAAGATCCCCTGCTGGGCCGCTGCGTGCCCAGCTTGGTGGGAACCCCCTCTGGCAGCCACAGCCGCCCCTCTACGTCGTGGCAGCACCAGCTGCAGCACCCCCTCAGCCAGCCCGCCTGGAACAGCAGCGTGGCCAACACCCCCTCGCCGGTCGCCGGCAGTGCCGATCACTCGCCCACCCTGTTCCGCCTTCCGCCTCCGCCCGCTCCGGTCCACGACCGTCCCTCCCGCGGCAACGGCAGAGAGAGCGGCTCCCGGAGCAGGAGGCGCCACAGGAGGCGGCAGCGGGACGCCGTTGCTTTGGAGAGCGACACGTCCCTGTCCATCCCGTCCGTCGACCACGAGGAGCTGGAGCGCTCCTTCAGCGGTTTCAGCATCTCGCAGGCCAAGGAGGACTTCTTTGGGCCTTCGTTCTTCGCAGGCTCGGGAGGCGGAGCAGGGACGGAAGCCGCAGCTGGACCGGCACTCTGCGCCAGGGTCAGACCCTTCATTGCAGAGGGCGAATCCGACACAGACTCTGACCTCTACGCTCCCTCCCCGCTGTCCTTCACTGGAGAGGTGTCATGTGGAGACCCGGCGTGGCCGGGTAGGAAGTAGGACACGAGAAGACATATCAGGAGCCAAGTGACTGTTGCTGCTGTGGATGCCATTACAGTCTATTTTAGGTTGAGTGAATGGTAATGATTGAAGTTCATTACTGAGGATGGTAACAAAATGTAAACTAAAGACGCGTCCCTTTTAACCTTTTTGTTTTGTTTGTGATACAAACACTTACAATGCTTAATTACAGTTGCATTGAATCAAGATCTTGGTTAATCCAAAAATAGCTGGTTAGGGACACTTCTTTCTCATTTATTTATTGATGATGAAAGGTACAAAAAGTCCAGATGGGTGAGTATGATTTATGACCCATCCGGTAAACTGATCTAAATGAAACATTCATTCCTTCATAATAAGTATGTGCTATTTAGCACTTTTTCGGTTACAATGACCATCTAAAATATAAAGGGAGTTAGGACACAGGAAACTTTCGGTCTCATCACATGGTTAGCATAGTGTCTTGATATATCTTATATACCTATGGATGATTTGAGGTGTTTCAATGCCCATACTTTAGCTATGATAATCAAGTAGATTCTTGCAAAGAAAAAAAAGAAATATGCTTGCTTTTCAGCATCATTAATTCAGCCTGGTGTTCACTAAGCACTGCAGGTGAACTCCCTTCGATGCATTGAAGATACTTCCCGTTTGATAAACCACTGAACCTGCTGCATGGTATGTTAATGGTTTACGGTGTTGTTGGTTTAAGGGCCGTGTTTAGCCAGCTACAAAACCAGACAAAAAGTCAGCCGGCAAATTCCATGATTGTCTCTTATCTGTACAAACAAACAGAAAGGTGAACAAGACAAGAAAATGTGTGCATGACCAGGTTCTAACATACGTTCCCTTTTTGGTAAAGCTTTATTTAAGTTCCTATCAAAATAAATGCAGCCCAAGCTTGCTGATCCAATGTTTTTCCAAAAACAAATATCCATGTCACATATGGAAAAAAGCGACCCCTTTAATCAGGTGCTGAACATTAACTCCTATCTTTTTGTTTTGTTGTCCCACAACATGCAGTTGGAGTATTCAAATAATATGGGACCCTTACTCAGATGTGTGCCTGTGATGCATACGTCAGTCTTTCAGACACTCCTGCAGTGACAGTCCTGCACTAAATGAGGCAAACGCAATAAAAAGCAAGGAAAGGCAATTAAGAACCAACCTCCTCCTGGCCTTAATTTTTCACACCAATATTGTTTTGTAAGTTAATGAATCAACATTCTGTCAATTTCATAAAAGTAGCTTTTGCAAGTGCATTTTTAAGTGTTATTATAAGAGCCTTTGTTGCTTAAGAGCAGTTGTTCTGATACTGTTTTAGCCACTAATGATGCTAAAAGCATGAGATTGGGACATCTGAAGCATGAACAGTTATTGTTAATAATATTAATACTAACCCACATCGTAGCAAATTATACATTCCTCCATTCTTTTTCAATTTAACTGAAAATATGATTTACTAAAGACTGCTTCAAACAAGCTACACGATCCATTTTTGTTTCTTTTTCCAGAAAAGAAAAAAGACACATCTGCTGGCATGTTTTCTACAAGCCAAAGGAAGGTACTACATGGTTTTACAAACCACCATAGCTTTCAATTCAACATGACCATGCAACAACATCTTCTTAAATAATAAAACTTTGTACATCACTGAAAACCATCTCTTTGGTCTCTATCAATGCAGGGACATGTCCCGCTGTGAACGGTGTATCGGCCGTGTGGTGTAACAGTGGCAAAGTGTCAGCAGATGGCAACCAAGAGCTTCAGCTGAGTGGGTTGTTATGACAGTGAAACGTATGGGAGAAAAGTTGAGGATGGATAGATGGACAGGTGGGAGGAGTGAGAGATGGAGGGATGGACAGATATAGATAGCATGATGGATGAATTATTAACAGTGATAGATATCCTCCAACCCAAATGCTGGACTTATTAATGACATCAATTAAGGACTAATTAACCATTAATAACACCCTTCATCTATCTCGCTTTATAAAGGTTGATGTATCAGAAAAAAAGGAAAATGAAATAGCTTACACATAATATATTGTAACCTGACAGCAGGGATTTGTTCCCATTCAGCCACAGGGTTGTTAGTGAGGTCAGACATGGTCAGATGGGCAATACGGCCTTCCTCTCACTTCATCCCAACGGCTTTAGATGGTTTTGAGGTCAGGTCTCTCTGCAGGCCATTCATGTTCTTGACCATCAAATAAAACAATATACATTTTTGAAAGCGCCCGCATCCAAATGTTACATCCCCAAATGTATAATTACTTGAATAAAATTCAATCCATTTCATTTTATATAGCCCAAAATAACAAGTTTGCCAGAGGGCTTTACAGACTACATGCAACATCCTCCGTCCTGAAACTGTCGTATCGCCATCGGAAAAACTTGGAGAACGGAAGAGGAGGGATCCTTCTCCCGGTCTGATGGAATGCAATAGATGTCATGTGTACAGAATGAACAACGTAAAAGATGGACAATGCATTCAATGCATATGACTGTAAGACATAACCACCATCCACAGAAACCTGTGGGGAGGGAAAGCACAAAGGCTTCAGGAAAGAAGCAAAGCGGGTAATGTTGGTTTATGATGACAGTAATAGTTACGCCATTAATAATAATAATCAGCAGGTGTCAGCAAGGTCATGGCAGGAGGCAGGACCAGGCTCCGGATCGAACTATAATCCATGTAAACCTGTGAGGCGAGAAAGCACAAAAACTCCAGGGAAGAAGCTTAATTAGTGATGTTCATTTATTAGATGTGGATTGTTAAAGAAGGAGGGAGACTGGGGGAGAGGAGCTCAGTGCGTCCTTGGTAGTCTCCGGGCCTATAGCAGCTTATCTAAGGGCTGGTCCAGGCTAACCCGAGCCAGCCCTAACTATAAGTGTTCTCATTGAGGAAAGTCTAAAGCTCCATCTTAAATGAGCTGACTGTGTCTGCCCCCCGGACTGAAAGTGGAAGCTGGTTCCACAAAAAAGGAGCTTGATAACTGAAGGCTCTGGCTCCCATCCTGCTTTTAAGACTCTAGGAACAACAGGTAACCCGGCATTTAATGGAGCGCAGATCTCTAGCAGGGCAATATGGCATTATGAGCTTCTCAAGATAAGGTGAGGAGAAGAACCTTATATTCTATTCTTGATTTAACAGGGAGCCAGTGCAGAGAAGTATAATATGGAAGTAATATGATCCCTTTTCTTAGTTAATACACAAGCTGCAGCACTCTGAACAAACTGGAAAGGCTTGAGAGACTTATAAAAGCAGCCTGATAATAAAAAGTTGCAGTAATCTAGTATAGAAATAACAAAGGTTCCTCCACCTGAGGACAGACCAGCACTGGTTGAAGGCAGGAGGCTATCTTCCATAGCTAGAATCTTATCATACAGTAATTATTATTGAGTTCTATAAGAGTACGCGGCTCAACAAGCTGTGACTCAGTCTGTCTGCCTACAGTGCTGAAAAGAAAACTGGGGTTGTTTTCTTCTCTCTTAATGATGAGTGATGCTCTTGTATTATATGCTTCAACACTGCCAAACTAACCTAGATTCTTCTACATTGTTGGAACGTCCTAAACCGTTCAGGTTTGGTCTGACAAGAGAGTCTCTATAGGGTTTATTATGGTATGGGTGGGTGGCTGCTCTGATGGAAGCGCAGACAAGTGTGTAAGACTGCAACTCTGCGTCCTGGTCGGACCTCTGGGTTTTCATGGATTTGGTCCCCTATAGAAACTGGGTCAGATTTGTTGAAATGAGATCACCTCCGCCCCAAGTGGGATGTTTGCTGTCACTCCAAATCAGACCAGGCTCTCCCCAAAACAACTTCCAGGGCTCAACCAAGGCCACATTGTTTGCTAAACGGCACCTTGTGAACCAGCGGCAGAATGATGGAATGTCGTCCCTGATCAGATTTGGAAGAGGGACAGAGAAACTTATGGGGTCCGACATTGTTTGTCCGTAAGGTATTTGTACACACATTTGGCAACAGACAAGATGACACCACTGCAACTCTTCGCTATACGTCAGCGGAAAAAAAGGTTGATTTATTCATTGCTTTTGCGTGACAGATTTTATTTAACAAGCTATTTAACAACAATTGGCTAATGGCAGTGAAACGGCAAAGGAGCCATTCCACACCACACGCTCAGTCTGCCAATTTGTTAAGTGTTGTAAGGGAGGGACTTTAGTTTGAGAGGGTGATACAAATTGGATTGATTCAATATAAAAGTCAGATGATGGCGACACAGCACCCAAGTCCAGATGTCTTGATCAGCCAAAGCACAGTTTAGAAGCAAAACAAAACAGCAGGGAACGCTTTTGACATCTATTCAGCAGGGATTATGTTATTGTATCATCATGTTACCAGGGTGGACAGAGACAGGGTTTTGCGCCAAAACCAATCGCAACCAATTTAAATGACCCTGGGTTGTCATTTGGATTCTTGCACAAGCACAATGATGAGGCAAGACTTTTAGTTAGAGCCTTGCACGTAGCATTGATTCAAAGATGAGAAATTTAAGTTTAAACAATGTATCACGAGATAGAGTTGGGAAATTGACCATCTGCTGATGAATGACAAGACCCAACAATCAATGAACCCATTAGAGACCCGGTTCTTACGGGGGACCTATCGAACGAGAGGCCAAAATCAGACAGACTATGCATTTTGGTAATGGAACCGTAGGGTTCACCAGCAAGTGCACCAACAGGAATGCAGTAAGAACTCAGCATATGCAGCGGCCTCATGGTTACACTTTCCAATTGATTATGCCAGAAATTTGAAAAATAAATGATCTCCTTTGTTTTATAGCAGCAAATGGTCACCAGAAGGGATTTCTAATTACTACTCTCATCATGTGTGGAGGTGTAACTATGATATGATTCTGTGCGTGACAGTTTTTTTAAAATATGACAATTTTTCAGTTCTGGGTCAACAACAATGTAAAAGATGAGAAAAAAGTCTTGAATCCATATATCGGTTCCTGTATCTTGGACTAAACCTAATTGAGAGTGCTGAGCATATCATTAATCAGAAGACAATTACAGAATGGCATTGATCTTAATTTCCTGAAGGTGTTTGTCTGAAGCAAGTCTAGTCATTGTTTATTCGATTAGAGGTTGGATATGGCAATTCTTATCAATGTAGATCTACTGACTTGACTAATTAGCTTTATATTCTAGTTAGTAGACATAAAAAAGGGAACTGAACAAACTACGTCATAGTAAAAAATCCTTAATAATGACAATAATTTAGTAGAAAATAACTATATATTAAACACCTTTGCTATATAGATTCAGCCATAGAAACCTCTTTAAAAACCTTGTGCGATAATACAAGTGATGATGATGATCAACTAACATATATATTTTTTAATGTGAGACATTTGCATGTAATATTCAACTGGCCATCCCTCCATACCTGTAGATCAATCAGTTAATCTACTTGAACTATCATTGGTAAAACCCCACATACCTCCGGTCTCTTCTCATCATCTCCAACAGTAACCAATCTTTTGGTTTCGCAAAAGAAGCTAAATTCCAACTTTTTTTCTCCTTTTCTTCAGGAGCATTGTTGCCTGTGTACAGTATTATACATATTATGATTTTGATAAAGATGTTTTTATTTTATTTGTCTGTAACAACTTTTTTGAGTGAGGTCGTCATTGTAAATGAAAACCGAACAGAACCTGTACAGTAGAATTACCCAATCACCTGATCCATCTCATCTGATCCAGCATACTGACTTGTGACCTCCATTAGCTCCACAGTATACTTCCCACTATCTCAATGTTACTGAATGTAAGTCTGCATTTTATACGGTTTGAACCTTTGGTAATTGAATTGTGGCCAAATGGCAGTGCAGAGTGAGCTTTAAAAACAACACTAGCTCGGTGGGTATTGCAGTGGGTTTAATGTAAGAGATCTCTTACTGAAGCTACCTGTTGTTGCTGGAAACTACACTATTTTCAAATTACACGTGTAGTTCTTTGACCCAAAGAAATTGAAAAAATCCTGAAATACAGTCACACACATTAAGAAAATACATGTACAATATATATTATCACGCTTGAGACCTTTTTTATTCCAATTCTAAAGGGAGAAAGATAGAAAATACAATTATAGGAAGTGCTGAGCTTGTATTGTATTATAATCTTTTTGCCATAGATGGATGGATAAATGTATAAAAAAGGGTACCAAGCTTGTCTTCTCATGTCAATTTGAAGACAGATAGTTGACAGATAGTCGCTGTTAGCGGCTACTGGGAGTCCCACGGTGAGTTTTGCTAACAATGCTACCGGGGCAGAACCCAAAGAATGACTATTGTGTTAAACAGTCAACGTTCATTTTATAGACAGGTTACTTAAGTCTACCTGCACATATCCTTTGCAAACCGCTGCACAGCAACCTTAGATTAAAATGAGGGTATCCGTAGTGTGATAGTGAAATAATACCAAAAACTGTAGTGTGGAAGTATATTGTGATTGCACATTGATGCCATCTTTGTGACACCTGCTTTATGTGTCTGCAATTGTATTTTAACACCACGGCAGCTTCTGTGCGAGATAAATCTTACTGGAGGGACATAAAGGAAAGGAAAGTGGTGGAAATTGAAGTAGACCTTGTGCAGAAAAAAGTCCCTGACCTGCATAAAGCACG